AAAAACTTTAATAGTATTCGTTGAGGTGATTGATTGATTGATTGATCGATTGATTGTCAGATTTCTCAAAGCGTTTTATATAAAGTTAAAGTTAATGTTATAGTGAACCTTGAATTTAAAATTTAAATTTAAATTTAAATTTAAATTTAAAAAAAAATTTTAATTTTTTTTGAAGAACAATCTGTTTGAAAAAAAAATCCGCAAAAATTAAAAAAATAAAAAATTATATGTATAAAATGACTGAAATGCAGGCGGGAGATTATCACCGCGAAAATGGATTGCATTTACGTGAAAACGGTCTTCACCTTCGCGAAAATGGACTCCTTCGGGAAGACGATCATCTCCGGGATAGTAGTAGTATCGAACACAGTTTAAAGCTCAGGCTTTCAAACGGCCATAGTAGTTACGATGTTGCCAAATTAACATCTAACAGACACCCCATTCCGAACGGATACAAACACGAGTTCATAGGGAATTCTGATGATGTCAAGCAATTTGAAACTTCCAATCCGCCATCTCCTGCTGTGGACCCCCAAAGTTCGCCTGATCCTGAAAGAAAGGTAAAATAAAAAAAAAATAAAAAAATTTGAATCCATTTTTATTATTATCATCATTTTGCTTTTCTTTTCTTTCTTTCTTTCTTTTCTTTCTTTTCTTTCTTTTTTTCGAATCGTCTGGTTGTATCGATTTTATTGTCACCGTGAGTTTGTTTTTTTTCTTTTACGACTTGCAGATCCCTATTTTTAGTTCCCGCCCTGAATTTTTTTTTTTTTTTATTTAATAAGGCAGAAAAAAATTATCATTATCATTATTTAATTTTTTTTTTTTTAAATAAAAATTCAAAATCGAGTTGTTGGTTTTCACCCCTACGGAATAATAATATTAATAATAATAATGATATAATTTTTAATATCGATATACGAAATTACTGTCGCACTCTGTTGTCGTGTGGATATCGTTGTGCCGATTAAAAAAAAAATTTTTTTAAAAGAGACCGACAGACCGATCGACCGACCGACATTACAAATGGTTATTTAATTGCTGTTGTTGGTGCTTAATTGAAAAAGAAAAGAAAGAAAAAAAAAAAAGAAAAAGAAAGAAAGAAAGAAAGAAAGAAAGAAGAAAAAAAACATTGATTCGGTTGCCAACGTGGATTCGACTCATGATTTATTCTGCCACGTTTTTTTTTTTTTTTAAAATGGTGGTGATGGTGGCGGTGGCGGTGACGGTGGCGTACCCAGGATTTTTTTAAATTGAAAAAAAAAAATTTTTTGGGTAAACTAGTTTTATTACGACTCGATTAAAAAAATATATATAAAATGGATGATTTAGGTTTCTCTTAAATATATATATATATATATATACCGGTTGTTGTCTTGCCATATTTCATCATGCACATGCACACACACATATGTGTATATATATTTTCTTAAATTTTCATTCTCTCTCTCTCTCTCTCTCTCTCTCTCTCTCTCTCCAAGCATTTTTTATCGTAAATATTATTTCTTATCTAATAATTTTATTATCAGAATGTTTTTTTTTACTTGAAAATCATGTTAAATTCTTCATGTTATAGGTTAGGTAAGATTTACAACCTTGAATGATTATTATTATTATTATTATTATTATTATTATTTACTATAAAATATGTATATATATTTAATTCACTTTAAAAAATCAAATTGTAGGAAAAAAAAAAAAAAAGTAACCTCTTCATTTCAATAACAATAACGATAATAATAATAATAATTTTTTTTTTAACAATTGTATACGTTTGATCGATGACTTGATTTATATATTTAAAAAAAAAAAAAAAAAATGGCGGGTTTTTTATTTAATTAATAGTGTAATTAGTAGTCGTACATAATGAAATAACTGTTGGATAATGAAAAAAAAATAAAAAATTTGTAAAAAAACGGTGTTGATTTCATATTTTAAAAAAAATACAAACGGGAATGAATGAATTCATCGAAAACAACAACAACAACAACAAACGCGTTTATTAATTTCATAAAACGAAAAATATTTATATATGCGCGGTCGTTGCAAAACATAAATGAAAAACTAGAAATCCGTTCAATAATTAAAAAAAAAAAAATATTTTAAAAGTAGTTTTCGTAAAATAAAAAAAAAAAAAATTTGTAGTTGTTTTTAAAAGAAAGATTTATCTATATATATATATAAATATGATTATAAACTTGCACACAGGCACGCACACACACGCATGTATAAAATATCCAGAAAAGATATAATCAGGTTTTTGGTACATTACAGAATGTCCACCTTTGACTTTTAAAAAAAAAAGAAAAAATTTTTTTTTTTTTTGACCAGTTTGGTTTGTTCATCATTTTAATTTTAAAGTGTGTGTGTGTGAAATTTTTTATTTCATTTCAAACGCGTTTATATAAAACTTTGATGGCTTTTTTTTTTTTTTTTGAAAGAATATTTATTTATTTTGGATAAATGAGAGGGGAAGAGAGAGAGAGAGAGAGATGCATAGAACATAATAATAATAATATTAATTATTCGATGAGTAATATAAGTTAATATCGGTTTATTATTATGACTTTAATAATAATAAGTTTTTTATAAATAAAAGGGAGGGAGGGGGTTCGTTAGATTATAAGCAATAAAGAAGAAAGAAGAAGAAAACAGGTAGAATAAAAAAATAATAATAATAATAAACAAAAATCATTAAAAAAAATAAAAAAAAAAGAGTAAAGCAGAATTTTTTATTTTTATTTTTTATTTTTCATTTCACGAAACCGGTGTAGTAAAAAATGTTGTAAATATTTTAAATAATAATATTAATAATTATTATTATTTTTTATTTTTATATATTTTTTTTTTATATTTTAAAATTAATATATATATTTTTTTTTTAAAGTCATTCCAAAGAATAATAATAATAATAATAATAATAATAAAAATAATGAAAATTAAAAATCGGTTCGCATCGTATTAAAAATTTATTTAAGTAAAAGTTTTTATGTTTATTAAAATTTTTTACACTAGTACGAAACAAACGACAACAACAACAACAACAACTTTATAGATTTTTTTCATATTTTGAGTGTAAAAACAAACAAACAAACAAACAAAACAAACAAAATAAAAACAAAATGAATCATTTATTTTAATTATGTATTGAAAAGAAAAGAAAAAAAAATGTATGTATGTATATAAATACTCAAAGCATTGAACTATTAATTAATTGTTTTGGCGCCAATAAAAATTGAAAAAAAAAAAATGCTTTTTTTTAAAACCGTAACAAATCTCACACACACACAAAAAACGACCATTATTATTATTATTATTTAATTCGATAAAAAAAAAAGGAAAAAAAAGAAAGAAGAAAAAAAAAGGAAATTATTTTATTTATATCGAGTTAAGACAGGTGTAAATTAAAATGGCGCCTTTTTTTTTTTTTTTTGTTTTGTTTTGTTTGTTCATTGCATTTTCCTAAATGTAAAATTTTTATTTGATTTTAAAGGGATAAAACTATTAATTTCAATTATTAAACAAAAAAGAAAAAAGATGAAAACAATTATTATTATCGAAATGAAATTAATTTTTCGGCTGGTGTACAAAACCTTTTTTTTTTTGGGGGGTTGTTTTGTGTTTGTTGTCGTCTTAACCTTTAAATTAATTTTAAAAAATTTTGTTTTGTTATGTTTCCCCCCCTTTTTACTCTTTTCTCTTTCTCCCGCTCTTTTAAATTTTAATTTCTGATATTGTAACTTTCACTTTTCTCTTTTTTTTTTTTTTTAAATATTAATTCATTTCTTCTTTCTTTCTTTCTTTCTATCTCGTCGTCGTTGAGAGTTGTTGTTGTTGTTGTTGTTGTGTTATGTTAAACACAACGAATCGAATAAAGGTGTGAAGAAGAAGAAGAAGAATTATTTTTACCAACAATTTCAATGTTTTTCTCGAATTTTATATCATTCGCATGAAGTAAATATTTATTTATTTATTTATTTATTTTTATCCGGTTTGTATACATTATTGTTTTCGTTGTTTGGAGGCTAACAAAAAAAAAATAAAAGTTGCAAATGCCAAATTTTTTTTTTTTTTATTAATATTTTCATTCGTCTCGTAACAATGTTTACATCTTCATTGCGAAAAAAAGAAAGAAAAGAAACAATAATAATAATAATAATAATTGTGTATTCGATGAGGTTACCAAACGATGTTAATTAAAACGAATGAAAAAAAAAAAATGGTTGACACAAACTCTTTTTTTAAAAACACATTTATACATATTTCTATATCGAAATGTTTTTGTTTTTACGACGATAATTTTCAATTATTATTCGATTATATCGATTCGTTCGCTAATAATAATAATAATAATAATAATAGTAAATTTTTTTTTTAAATTTGTGTTTAAAAACGATGATAATATTGATTGTTTCTTCAGGTGATTTAACATCTGGTTAAATATAATTATTAATTCACAAAAAAAAATTTCTTACATTCTAATTTAAAAAATTGTTTTGTTTTGTTGCCTTTTTCTATCCCTCTCTCACTCTCTCTCTCTCTCTCTCTGTCTGTCTATGTGTGTGTGTGTGTGTGTGTGTGTGTGTGAACTACATAAAGATTACAGGGGGGGGGGTGGAAAGAAAAAATTAAATGTAAAAATGGGTTATTCATGCACATCATATGGTTTTTTTTTTCTTCTGTTATCATCATCATCATCATCATCATTATTATTATTATTATTATTATTTATTAAAATCAATCGTTATTCGTATTGATTCATAATCATCAGCATTATTATCATCATTTTTAAAATTTAAATTAATAAAATGCATGCAAGGTTGAGAATTTAAAAAAAGAAAAAATTATTACTAATAATAATAATAATGAAATGAAATGAAATTAATAATAATATGTGATGATGATGATGATGATGATGATGATCATATAAAATTTGAAAAATTATGATTGGAAAAAAAAAACTTTATTTTATTATTATTATTATTATTGATATATATATATATATATATATATATATATATATATATATATATAAATTTTTTTTTACATAATCTTTACTCTTGTCAACTTTTAATTTTTTTTTTTGTCGTTGGATGATTAAAATAATTATTATGTTTGCTTTTTTCTTATAAAAAAAAAAAAAAAAGAGAGAGAGAGAGAGAGAGAGAGAGAGAGAGAGAGGTACGCATGTTTTGCCTAAAGGTATTCTGCATTCAAAGTGATCACTTAAGTTTTTAACTTGTTGTTGTTGTTGTTGTATAAGAATTAAAATGAAATTTAAATTTAAATTTAAAAAATGAATTCAATTGGCAAAAGTAAACTAAAATGATTAAGAAAAGACCATGGATGAACATGATTTATAGATTATTTAAAAGTAAACTAACTAAAAACTAACTTTTTTTAAATAATCTATAAATCATGTTTCCTCCATGGCCTTTTCTTATTCATTTTAATTTACTTTTGCCAATTGAATTCATTTTTTTTTTCTCCATCAAAAGAGAGTATATTATCATCATCATCATCATTATTTAAAATAATAATAATTTCGGTTGATAATTTCTTTATAACTAACATTGATTTATTAATCAAATATTTCTTATTATTATTATTATTATTGATTAACGTATTTAAAAAATAAACTTTTTTAAATAATTTGTTTGTTGTTGAATGTACATTTGTTGTTTGTGTGTGCGTGTACGTGCGTTTGTTAAGGTTATGAAAATGTAATGGTGGTCATCATCAAACAATGTTTTTGTTTTCATCATTAGTTAATATTTCAATTATTATTTATTTAAATCTATCTATATATATATTAAATCTTTTTTTAAGAGAGAGCGTTCAAATAGATTAAAAAAATATAATAGAAATGGTGCTGAAAATGAGTTTTTCGTTTTGTTTTGTTAACAAATATAAAATTAAGATTCATAGATATTTCGTTCAAATTATTATTATTATTATTTGTTTTAAAAATAGTCGTTTAGGCAATTTTTTTTTTTTTTTTTTACTCGATGCATTGATGAAACGTTAAAAATTAGCTGAAGGTTGCATTTTTTTTTTTTTTTTTTTGATCTGTTCGAAAAACACATTTAGTAGATTCAAGTTTCCATTTTTTAATTGAGTCAAGTAGTAGTAATTTATATATATTTAAATTTAATCTTAATCCAGTCTTATTTAATTTTTCTAAACAGAGATATGTATATAGTTAGAGAGAGAGAGGGAGAGAGATAAATAGAATTTGAAAGAAAGAGAGAGAGAGAGAGAGAGAGATTGATTTGAAAATATTTTAAATTTGATTCTCTTTGCTACTTACTATATTACCAAATTTTTAAATATATTTTATTTTAATAAGTTTGACCGTTTTAAAAGAAACAAAAGAGAGAAAGAGAGAGAGAGATAAATATATATATATGTATACATATAATCAACTTATAAAGTGTGATGTGATCGATTATTTAAAAGAAAAAAAAAAAAAAAAGCAGATACCTGAGAGCTACAAAATACCCACAGCCTGCTTTTGTGTGTGTGTTGCTCACCTTGAAGGAACCTTAAATTATATTTTTCTGCCTTGAACCTCAACTCAGTCAAATCTTAATAATTAAATCATGCAACAACGACTTAAATACCATCTACTTTTACGCCGATGAAGGCTAAATATTATAATTTTAGACCCGTAGACCCACGTTTAAAAAAAAAATCTGACATTTTTTTTTTTTTTTCTTCATTTCATTTCATTTCTTTTCTTTATTTATTTATTTCATTTTTTATATATATACAAATTTGTCATGTGTTTATTATTGTTATCATTAATAATATTATTATTATTTTTCTTCCTTTATAAATATACGTTTTTTTTTTTTTTTTTATATATAATGAAAATAAATACTGTTATAAAAAAAAAAAAAATGAAATTAAGTTTAAAATGTTTCCCAAAATGGCGGAAGTTATGATCAAGGGTCGGTGATCTCTCTTGCGATAAATATTAGATGCGTGTCACGAACATTTCTGTTGGAATTTAAGCGATTTGGTTGAGTTTTTTATTTTTATTTTTAATCTTATTTTTATTTAATTAGAAATCAGGATAATAATTAATGCGTTTGTGTAAAGAGAGAGAGAGAGAGAGAGAGAAAGAGTGTATATTTTAAAACCATTTTTGTGTAACAAATATTTGGTAGATTTTGAGGTCTCACTTTCTCTCTCTCTCTCTCTCTCATTTCTCCCAATTACGTTTCGTTTCTGTTATTATTATTATTATTTAATAATTTTTTGATTATTATTATTATTATTATTGATGAATGCCCTTTAACTTTCGAATGCTTCCGCCGGAGTTTTAAAATTGTATATTTCGATTGCGTTTCGACATTAGCAAGCCAAAATTAACAAAATTCAATTTCCTTTGTGTAAAAAAAAAAAAAAAAAAAAAAAATGGAGAATGAAAGTTAGTACCGACATCTATTGGTTGTTTTTTTAAACAAAAACGTTTACAATTTTTACCGATAGTCGGCGACACAGTGCAACAACCATCAATCATGTTGGTTTGTTTTTTTATTCGTATTCTCAAATCTAAAATTTTTTTTACTGCTAATGTTTTATTAATGGATTACTTTGAGAAATTCACATTATGCTTTTCTTATTGTTTTTAGTTTTGTTTTTTACTTCACACTTGAAATAAATTGAAATATTTGTACTCTTCACTCGAACGTTAGTCTAAATTACTCGACAAACGAGTAAAAATAACCTAAAATGAATTTTTGAACAACACATGAATCCGACATGTTTTTAGGGCGTTCTTATTTACTTATCGAAATTGTGAAAAATTTTTCTCTATGAGATTCTCGTTTCATATTTAAAAACTCTAAAGGTACAAAATTAAAAGAAACCTGACATCATCTCATCACGTTTAATTTCATTTAAATGAAACTTACACGTTTTATAAACATACACACATATGTACATTATTTAATATTTGCGTGACTACCTGAACTTAATACAAAAATATATTTGTAATTAGGGGTAAAAAAAAAAAAAGATGAATTAAAAAATTGACTTAAATTTATACCAGCAAAAAAAAAAAAAAGGAAAAAAATTCTTTATTATTATTATTATTACTATTATTATTATTTTTCTAGTCGTATCTGAGTAATTTAAATTAATTATATAACATATACAAAATGATTCATTAATTTAAAAGGCACACAAAAAAAAAATGTCTTGGTTTTTGTAATTTCCACTCCAAGATCATTACCCCAAACGAATTTTTCTTTTTTTTTTTTTTTTTTTTTCTGGCCAGTAAAAACTTATTATAAATTATAATTATTAAATTAAGAGACATCACATTTAAACATGAGACATTAAAAAATCATTGTAATTATGTGGCAAAAAAAAAAACAATATGGATGTCGATTAATGTAAAACCAGGTGGATTTTTTTTTATTACAAATATTAAATACAATAATCGTTTAAGTATAAAAAATAAGAAAAAGAAAAATAATTAATTCTGAGTTTGGGATTTTTTTTTTAAAATTAAGAATTTTTTTTTTTATTTGATCTAAAAATAGCTTAATGGAATAGGAAATAAGTTTCAACCAAGTTGAAATAAATATTTTTTTCTTTTTTTAAAATTTACTACGCTTTCTAACACACACACACACACACACACACACGAAGATATCCAGTAGTTTATTTTAAAAAAAAAAAAAAAACTTTCTATTAAAAAAAAATAATATTCATCAATAAAATTGGTTTTTATTGATTATTTTTCAGGTTTTCGGATCCAAAGCGGATTTACAACTCCACACTCAAATACACATGCGAGAAGCAAAACCGTATAAATGTACTCAATGTTCGAAAGCTTTTGCCAACAGTAGTTATTTGTCGCAACATACTCGAATACATTTAGGAATAAAACCATACCGCTGTGAAATCTGCCAAAGAAAATTTACACAATTATCTCACCTTCAACAGCATATTCGAACTCACACGGGGGATAAACCCTACAGATGTAAATTCAGCACTTGTTCGAAAGCGTTCAGTCAGCTCAGTAATTTACAATCCCATTCGAGATGTCACCAACAGGACAAACCGTTTAAGTGTAATTCATGTTATAAATGTTTCGTTGACGAAAGTTCACTCCTAGACCACATACCAAAACATAAGGAATCAAAACATTTAAAGACGCATATATGTCCCTATTGCGGAAAAAGTTATACTCAAGAAACGTATTTAACGAAACACATGTCGAAACATTCGGAACGTTCGGACAAACGTTCCCCCATACTCGGACTCGGATTGAATAGATTAAATCAACCGGAATATTGGAAAAATTCCGAATCATTGGTCGAAGCCATTGCTAATCACGACCGTTTGGCGATCTCGCAAGAAAATTTGCAAAACCTACAACATTTCTCCGCTCTCGGAGAGCATCATTTGGCGGGTTTGAACAAGCAAAACGAATTGAGGGATTCCCCGGATTTGAGAACTCCTCTCGCGGACACGATACAACGTTCTCCGACGATCAAACCCAACGACATAAATAAGAATTACGAAGAGGAATTGTTGAGATCGAACATACCCAACGACATAGCCAACTACGACGTTAAAAATAATTTAAGTAATAGTGCTTTTACGCCGATAAATCAAATAAATTACAACGCTAGACCGTACCTCCCATACGACACGATTAGTTTTCAAAACAAAGGTTTGCACCTGGATATAAATAAGACTAATGGTAACAATTGTGTGAGTTTTCCAAATAATCTTATTTCGTTGCATCAGATTCGAAATTACGCTCATCAACCGACGAGTTCCGTCATTAACGACCACGGCGGAGTTCCAGGTCTCAAAGATAAATAATATTAGGTTTTTCATTTTTTTTTTTTTCATTTTTTTTTTTCAATTTTATTTTATTTTATTTTAATTTTTCTCTTTTTTTTTTTTAATTATTTTTATTACTATTATTATTATTATTTTTTTTTTTTTTTCTTTATTTTATTTTTTCACTTTCCTCCTCTTGTAAAAGTGACATGTATATGATTCATTCATTCATCCTTTTTTTTTTTTTTCCATCAATTCCGTTACGTTTTATATAAATTGATGTTTTAATATCGTCATCATCAACATTATTATTATTATTCATGTTATTATTTTTATTTAAAAAAAAAAAAAACAAACGAATCCGATTACAATATTTTGTACAAAAATTTTCAATTATGGCAAATTTATTTTTATTTTTTTTATATTTATAAATTATTATTATTATTATTATTATTATTATTATTATTATCACGAAATTATTACTGTTATTTATATGTAGTATATGTATAATTTGATAAAAATGTGTGAATTGAAAATTGAAAATTTCAGAAGAAAACAAACTTTTTCTTGTTTTTTTTTTTTTTTTTTTGTTTTTCTCTTTGGGTGTTTTTTTTTTTTTTCGTTTGTTTGTTTGTTTGTTTGTTGACATTTGACCGAAAACATGAATTTTTTTTCGCACTTTTTTTTTTTTTTATCTTCATACAAATAAGACTGAATAATTTTATCCATAAAATCAATTATTTCAATAGGAACAATAAAAAAGGATTTTTTTAAATTTTGGGGTGCGTCCCCAGTGCCATTTAAAAAAAAAAAAAAAAATAGAAACACCTGATTTGTTTTTATTTTATTTTATTTTATCCACTTTTTGTTCGAATTAAACGTTTTAAAAATTTCATGACAGATTTTCTTTTTCTTATCATAATCATCATTATCATAATTATGGTTAATGTAAATTTTCCGGCACACATTTGACAAAGAAAAAAAATTTATTACTTGGAGTACTTAAAAATTTTTTTTTTAAGGTCCAGCCCCACCAGTTTTTCTTCTCTACTTTTTTTCTCTTTTTCTAGGTATCGAACGTTTTCTGATCTCTCTCTCTCTCTCTTTCTCTCTTTTCTTTTTTAAAGTAAAATTCTTGTTTCGGTTAATTTTTTTTATTTTTTTTTATTTACATGAATAAAATTTTCAAACCGTTAAAGTTAAAATTTAAAAAAAAATATTTTGAAAGTACTTATTATATTTAACACATAATATTTTTTTATACGGGTATTTATTATTATTATTATTATTATTTTCATTTTTCAATGTAAAAACACACAAAGAGACAGACACAGACACGCGCACATGGTGGTGGTGGTGCGTCAAAAAGTGCCATAAAAAAAAAAAAAAAAATTTTTTTCAAATAATGTTTTGTATCATTATTATTATTATTATTATCACGGTACATTATCAATTAATTTAATTGGATTCGTTTGTTTATTATTATTATTATCATCATTATTATTATTATTATATTGTTTGTTTTATTTAATTTTCTTTTTTTTTATTATTATTATTTTTTATTTTTATTTAAAAATTTTTTTTTTTTTAGTTAAATGAGAGTAATAAATTTCCCGGTTCGTCTGGTGCTCATTTAAAAAATTTTCTTCTTATTTTTCAAGATCCCCGGTTTTTTCCCCTCCCCCTTTCACATCCCCTCCCCTCCTTTCCCTCCCTCCCCGTGAGAAAAAAATTGACAGGAATTAAAAAAAAAAAAAATAAAAAATATTTATTAGGCTTTATTTTATTTTGGAAAACAAAAAACAAAGAAAAATTTTTTTACCGGTGTTTTATTATTATTATTATTATTAAGCATTTTATTTTATTTTGTATGCTTTACACGATTTCCTTTTTTTTATATATATATATATATAAATATAAATATATATTTATACTAAAGTGTTATTATTAATAATAAAAGCACGATTTTACGAAAAGTGAAAAAAAAAAAAAAGAAAAAAAATTTGATGTAAAATTGTAATAATAAATATTATTATTATTATTATTTTTATTATCATTATTTTAATATATTGTGCTTTTTTTGTATTATTATTATTATTTAAAATATAATAATAATAATAATTGAGTTGAAAAAAAAAATTTTGTATATGTATTATTGAATGAAACAAAAAGAAAAAAAAAAAAAAAAGTTGTAATTAAAAAAAAAAAAATTTGATATAAAAATAATTTAATTATATAATTAGGTTTTAAATGTAAATTAATTGAAAATAATAATAATAATAATAATTAATATTAATATAATAATTATAATAATAACAATAAAATTGTAATTAATTTGTAGTACAAAAAAAAATTTTTACAAATATCATCGTCTCAAATATTGGAAAATAATATTTTAATGGAGGAAAATTAAGTTGGAAAATTTTTTCCCTTCGTCATTATTTCAATAAATTATGTAAAAATTTGTTTTTTTATTAAAATAAATAAATAAATAAAGTTATTGTTGAGTTATGGACTCTTAATATAATTATAATGAGGAAAATGGACAACAATAACTTTTAACTGGAAAATATTATTTTCTTTATTTGAAATTATGTATTAATAATAATCAATAACAATTGTTTATAAAAGAGAGAGAGAAAATAAATTACCCGAATATTATTTATCGGGTTATTCTCATTTGTATAAAAAAAATTTAAAAATTATTAGTTAATAATTTAGTTAATGGATATGGAATCCATTATTATTATTATTATTTTTTTTTTGTATTTTTATTTTTAATTTTTTTTTTTTTTTTTTTTAAATTTGGTTTATATATATATATAAATATAATTTTTACAAAAGAATTTTTTTTTTTTTTAAAATATCTTTTGTGGTTACAAAAAAAAAATTTTTATGCAATAACTAATATAAAAAATTTTACAACAAAATTTAAATAAATTTCAATATATATATATATATATAATATAATTTTTTTTGTCAGTATTTTTAAATGTTTTAAGTTTGTTTAAAATTAAATACTTTTTTTTTTTAATAAAAAAAAAATAAACCTAGTATATAATATATATATAAAAATTATTAAAAATTTCTTTTTTGTGTCGTTTTAGTTTTATTTTCTATTTTTTTTTTTTTTTTTTAATAATAATAATTTCGATTTCGTTTATTTATTTAAAGATAAAAAAATTAATTTTTTAATGATATTAAAATAATAATAAAATAATAATAATAATAATAATAATAATAATAATATTTAACCACGTGTTCAGTTTGTGTACCTATTTCTTTACCTTTTTACTTTAGCATTGCATGACGTTTTTTTCGCTAATATTTGGAAAAAAAATTCCTAATGTTTAAAAACTATAATTTTTGTTCAACGTAAATGTATGTGCAATTGCATAATCACGTAATTTTAGGCGATAACAATTTTTATTATGTGGGCGTGTCTTACGCGCTACGTCACGAATTCGCACCTATAAAAGAGAAGCCACTTGTGAGACGATCTCATTTATTTTCCGTTACTTATACAGTGCAGTCGGGTGTTTTGCTGTGTTTTTCTATTTTTTTTTTTTAAATAATTCATTTTAAATACATTTAAATGAAATTATTTAAATAAATAAATTTAATTTTTTTCTTTCATCAAAAATCAAACGGTAAGGAATAATTAAAATTTAAACTTATTCATTCAGGTATAAAATAAATTTTACTCATTTTTATTATTTTTATTACAAATTTTTTTTTTATTTTTATATATATATATATAGACTAAAATAAAAATAAAAACAAGGAATACAAAAAAAAAAGTCAATTTTGTATAAATTCTTCATTCACTGTTTAAAATTTTTGAAAAAAAAAAATTTTTTTTTCTTTCTTCACCCCACCCCCCCCACCCCTTCCCAGGGAATTAAACATTAAACTAATTACGTGTAGTTTTATCAAACTGATATTTTAGAATTTTTTTTAAAACGTTTATTATTTTTATTTCGCATTGTTTTCTTTTTAATTTCTTTTTTATTTTTTGTAACGGTACCTTCTCCTGAGCTTTTGTATTTAGCAAAATCAACTGAATCGTATTTGAATGGAGTGAATTCTTTTTCTCCTTTAAATTTTTTTCTCATCTATTTTGGACACAAAAAAAAAAAAAACATAAATTTTAATGACGTCATATCATCAATAAATAAGTAAATAAATTTAAAATTTTTTTTCAACTCACTTTATTTTTAAAAAATTTACTAATTTTTTCCTTATTGAAAATAACATCATCATCATCTTGCGATAAATTTTCCATCGTTTTATCATTATCAATTTCTTTTTTAATTTTCTTTTTCGGTTGCAAATTTGCAAATTCATCCGAAGATCTTTTTTTATTACTTTCCTAAAAAATTTAAATTTTATATAAACAAAATAATTTCGAATCAATACGGAGTCAAATTTATTTTTTTTTTTACCTTTTGAATTTTATTATTGTTTTCATTTTTACCGGTCGATTGATTTGAATTTTCAACAGGATTTTGTATGCTTATCACATCTTCTTGAGTTCTTTTTTCCAATTGTTCCTTATTATCGGTCATTTCCTTTTTTTTTAAAATAAGAAAAATTACAATTATATTTGTTTTTGTGTTTGCACAAAAAATAAAAGTTAAAATTTACCTGCAGTTCCTGCTGTTTTGTAATATTTAACTTTAAATTTTTCGCTTCTTCGGATTCCGAATATTTTTTTGCTGCTTTGTACCTTAGGTACGGATTCAAATGAACCGTTTTTTCAATTAATGACAACAATTGTTTTTTCGGCGTTGGATCAATCAATTTTTCAAAAACGTTTATTATAGGTTTTAAACATATGTTTGCCTTTTGTGTGAGTTTATTCTTAAAGGTTTCCTGCGACGAAGATTCTAGAAAAAAAAAATTAATGTATGGATTAGTAAAATATAATTAATGAATTTATCAAAATTATAATAAATTTACCTGAACTTTCCTTTTCGGAATCGTTACTATTTTTTATAAGAACGGTAGAATCGTCTCTAAATTCGCTTTCGTGATTTAAATCGTGAGGACAGTATATGGGATTGTCGAAAACGTTTACAACGGCCGTGTTCCTGTGTAAAGTTTCCTCTTCGTGTATGGGTTTAACGAGAGGTTGTTCCCGAGCTTTTAAAATTATGAGATGCAATTTTAATAAATTTTGTCGGACCGGCAAAGGAATCGGATTGCAACATGCTAATATCCCTTGTGCTTCCCTAGGTAAAACTTCACTTATGTTTAACATCATATGATTAGGCAAAACGTACCTGAAAAAAAAAAAAAAAAAATTATCAACTATTCTATCTCTCTCTCTCTCCCACGAATATTTAAAAGTGTACTTTTGAAATGTTTTGACAAAACTTACGCTAGACTTTCATCCAATTCTCGTGCAGTTGAATCCCTCCAAGCGTACAAACGTTGTAAGGCATATTTTTGACGATTGTCAAATATTTTTTTGCTTCTAGTGTAAATACTCATGTATCCACTTTCGTCAAAATTTGGTTTTTTATAAGTCTAAAATAAAACAAGAATTCATAAATTCATTTTAGTTATGAAATTTTTTTTTTTTTTTAAATAGTTGAAATAAATAATTTTTTTTTTTTTATTACTTTTAAACAAATCCTAGTGCTTTCATTTATAACGGTTCGTAATAAATTTTTTTGTTCGTTACTTTTTTCAATTAATATATTTCTTAAATTATCATAAATATAAAGTAAATAATGTGTATCTTCTCTAGCGTAAGCAAGAAGTTCGTCAGGAAGTGGCCTGCAAACACATAAAATCGTCAAATTATATTTTATTTAAAAAAAAAATTCAAAAAATAATTAATATTAAGTAAATTTTTCACCTAATTCTCCAATCGGCCATTTGAAAATGCTTTTGAGCAACTATCTTACAAAAATGAAACATGAGGTATGCTAATGACAAACTTGAATAATTTAATAATTTTCCAGCTTGATGAGTGTCAAACATATTAACCACATAAAGAGACAAATCTCTTTGAAGCCACAATATGTCCAAATCAGCACCGTGAAAAACCTTTACTATGTTGGGATTTGTAAAAATTTTGTTAAGTCCTTCTAGTTTGGATCTTAATGCTATAGTGTCAATCACATAATCTGTATCCCTTGTACTTATTTGTAAAAGACAAGTGAAACCTTGAAACGATCTATAAGAATGATGCTAAAAATGGTAAATTAAAAATATTAAAATAAGAAAAGGAATAAATTTTTTATTATTTTCACAAATTATTTTCCTAAAATAAAATTTACCTCTAAATCAATAGCAATTTCTTTACATTTTTCTAAATTTTCTATCATAGGATCTATTTCTTCCGGTTTTGTAATTAAGTGAAAAGGTGTTTCCTCTAACGTTTTGTATGAAATCGGTGGTTGAGATAATAATTGAGACTCCAATGGCTGAAACTTGTTTAATTCAAATTCATATGGATGCAAATATTCTCTAAAAATCAGCAACTATTAAAATCCATTGAAACCATTAATAATAATATGAATAGAAATATAAAAAGTATTTTAGTTACATGTCTCCATTTTCTGTCTCTTGAGGAATTACAGCTAATGGTTTAAGTAAATTATGTTTGTATTTTATTCTAGGTTGAAAAGGTTCTTTGAAATCATTATTCACTTTATCTTCAAAATGTATTTGAGGTTTTTCCATAGTCTTTGTTTTACTAAAAATATCGTTTAATAATTGAGTCGAAGCTGAAGTAATATGACCCTTGTATTTGTTCCATGAACCATTTACAGAACTAGATTTTTTTACAAGAAAGGTTGAATCATCATTTTTTAAAGTTCCAGTTATTCTATCTAAATTTGTTCCCTGTTTAAATGTGAAAAAAAAAAAAATTTAATAAATTCTAGTCTATTAATACATTAGTAAATTTTATATTTTCATTTAAGTGAGTACTTACTACTTTTTCTAGTAAGGAATCATTGACATCAACAAGGAGTTCAAATTTATCATCTTCATCTCGTTTTAAAATGTTTCCCTTTGTGTTAGTGTACTTTAAAAAGTCTGATATTTTTGACAAAACTTTATTACTTTGATTTTTAATAATACTATGAAAAGCTGGGCAACTTTCATATAGGTCTCTGCTCTTGCCTGAAGGTAATTTATTTGAACTTTTTGTGGCTTCCGCCAAAATTTTTAAAGCTTTCTGTAATTTACAAAAATATTAATATCATATTTATAATAGCAAACAAGATTTTAAAAGTAATTTGAATATATACCATGGTAAACTGTTCTAGATTTCCATTCTCTGCAAGTATTTTTTTCTCTTTCAGTTGTGAGGCAACAGAAGATATCGTGATTTCAGAATCGTCCATGTTGGAATGGTTTCCAAATCAAAACATAAATACTCAATAAAACACATTTAATAAAAATTTTTTTTTTTTTAAACTGACTTTATTACCATTTTATAACAGTAAAGTTAAATAATAATAAATTCTGTGAATTAAACGACACACGAGTTGTTTTCGTTAAGTAAATTAAGTAAAATTCCAGACTTTTTATGCATTAGAACAAAATGAATATATTCTTTTTATTACTGCAGTAATAAGTTAATATAGTTCCATAGCAAAATAATCAGGTTTTAATTATTAAATAATGTTAAACAGACGTTATTCCAAACCTGAAATAAGGCATTCAATATTTATTAAAGATCACTTTATCATAAAATATCCTCTTTTCAAGAAGGCTACTTTTATGGCGGTTAAAAATACTCTATGACTTTTTATGTATTTAGGTATTGTTTAAATAAATGGATAAAGAAGAGGTAGTAACAATAATTCGATCAATAATAAGTTCAAGTCAAGCTCCTTTAAAAATTTCACAAATTAATAATGATTTTAAGAAACATACGGGAATTAGCATACCTTTTTTTGAGTTTAAAAACTTAGTTGAATTTTTTCAATCTATACCAGAAACTGTAAAGGTAAACTTATATCCTATTAAAGGTATTTAAAATTTTAATAAGTAAAATATAAATAAATTTTATGGTAATTTAGTTGACAGGGAATCCTACCGATTATTACGTTGGACTCGTAATTAGCAAAAAATCAGCTCATATTGTTTCACTTGTCGAAAAGCAGAAAAAAAATAGGAAAACAACCAAATTTGATTCTTTTAAGTATGTTAAACCTTGTTCTTTAACCTCAAGGAAATTTGAAAATAGGTATGTAGGTATTATTGTAATAACAAAATTTATTCGGTAAATGCTACTATTAATTTAAAAAAATACAAATTTATTATAATTTAATTAGCTTTCAGCAAAATAATTCTTTTTTAAATATTTCATCAAAAGATTATAAAAAAAATTTGTTAGATTATTTAAATAATTGTATCGATGGAGCTCATTTTAATGACATTAAAAAATACATTCCACAGCTGGAAGATTGGAATGAATCATTAAAGATAAATAATATCACATCAATAATTAAAATGCTTCCTTTTTGTGTTTTTTATAATAATAAATTTTATTCTGAGGAAGTTTTTAAAAAACTAATTTTAAATAATGAACTTAATGAAAGTACATAAGTTAAGTAAAAAACTATTTACTTTAGATGTGTTTATAGTTCATTTAAAAAAAAAAAAACCAATAAAAGCTTTTGAAAACGTTTATTAAGTTTAATTTAATTATTATTTAACATTTAATAAGCTTTTAAAATATATGTAAAATTTCTTTTTTTTTTTTTTTTAAATTTGAAATTCATTTTACAGTATTTAGTAAATAATTAACCGAATCGATAATTTCATTTTATTACAAAATTGAAAAAATATAACCTACTGGTAACATGGCGTTAATGGCTGGTTGTGTACGAGTAAATCGAGGTCTTTTTCCAGCAACAACAACATGTCCCTCTGATTCTTTTCCTGCTATGAATTGAGAGTACCTACTATCCAATCTTTTTCTTCTTAAATTGACTTCAGGCACAGGTTTTGAACCGGCAAATTTGAAAATTATTCTCGTGTTTTTCTTCTTTCGAAACTTAGTTATGGTAAAAACATTGTCTACGGTTAATTTTTTCGTTTGCGGTTTATACCTGGAATTCATGTATTTCATATTTTCGGATACTTGAATCGACCCTGGTCCCGATAATCGTTATAATTTTTCCCGATATAATATAGGATTATATAAAAGACTAGGCCATACGCAACATAAAGTGTCTCCGAAATATTCGCATAAATTAAAATTAAAATCTAGTAAATTCCTACTGTTGTATATTGGATTCCTATAAATTAAGGCAACGGCAACCTAAAAATGAAAAGAAAAAAATTTAAAATGTAAATATTGTAAACTTTTAAAACAACATTTAAATTAAAGAAACAGACGAGACTAAAAAGAAAAAATTAGGATTCGGGTACTCACGAAAGGTATTATAATTTTTGACTGGGTACTAGAAGTAAAATTACAAGGAATGAATCGGGAAAATTTCTGGAATCGGAAAAAAACTAATCGTGTAAATGTTTTTTTTTAAAAAGAAAAAAAAAAAAATTTTATTTGATTATTCTTACCAATAAAATATCATCTAACATATTTATATCGTTGATTACGTTTTTAGAAATTGAATTAAGTTTCAGCCTTTCTAAATAATTTAAATATTGTCTAATAATTCCGTGTAAAGTTTCGAATAATGTTTCAGGTCCCATTGCCACCAATAAAGTTAACGCACCATAATGAACTTTAAGAGTGGCATTGAAATCGATTAATAGTTTACCCATTTTTCTAACGACTGAAAATTTTTGTTCATCCCTTATGCACCACTGACACAAAATAAGTGCTAAAACTCTAGCAGCATATGATCTCAGACTAAAGTCATAACTTATTTTAGATGATTTTTTATCCAAAGCCACAATTAAAAGTATTGCATTGACAACTCTTGTCGTCGCAGAATATGGACCAAAATCAATTGAATTATTTTTAGATAATGCTTCTACAGTTTGTAAAGTCTTTTAATTTGCCTTTCGCTACCTAATTTGTTTAAAGTAATTGTTATAAAATTTAATATATAAGGTACTATTGGGAGTATCCTAGAACTTGAAGAGAGATCTTGAAAAACTATCTGTAAAAAAAAAAAAAGTACAAAATTAAAGTGTTATTTAAATATTAAAGTAAAAAAAAACATTGACTGGGGAAATAATTTGAGATGAAATTGGGTGGCATTAATTTGTAATTTAAAGAAAAAAATATTTTTATATCATGACTATGAAGTTTTCAAATCAACAACAAACCAAATTGTACCTTTTTTTGTTAGTTATTATGAAATCATTAAAAATTAAATTAAATGTGAAAAATAATTAATTTCAATCATGTAGGGTGACCCGAAAAATTTTATGGAATGTCAGTAGTAGATATCATGCCATGCCATGCAAGTTTTATCTGTCATACCTTTAAATCTGAATGTCCTAAAATAGTATTGCATGTAATACCATAATACTTAATTAAGTTTGTAGGAATTTTAGTTTCATTTCCAACAATTTCATTTCCTGACCTTTGTCTTTCAAGTGTTGAACTTTTGCCACTCAGTTTAGAATTTTCATTGTTACTTTGATCCACTGATGTTGTTGTTTTCACTTCTTCATTAGATGTTTTAACTTCTCCAGACTTCATCCATGATCCTGATTCAATTATTAAATAACCATTATTATTATTATAATTTCATGTCATTAAAACGAGAAAATTAATAGTTTATAATGTGATTTAAGAAATTAACCTGTGGCAATGTATGAATTACTTTTTGGAACCCTAATTTCAGATAGTGCAATTTCTGGTAAGTCAACAAGATTATCTTCTAAAACATAAACATCAGCTTCTTTTATATAAATAAAATTTTGAAGTGGATCATTTACAGTGTAACCATATATTGATGGCACATCACACATTTTTAAAACTTCATTTAAATCAGCACTATTTAATTTATTGTGCTTACAATGAATCATATATTTTTTACATTGCTGTAAAAAAAAATATTACAATTAGTAAAATGTTGAAAAATAAAAATAAATAACGTCCTACTTGAATTTAAATTATTGTAAGAATTTTAATGGAAAAAAAATTTTAAAATACACAAACTTGTATAATGTAGCGAAGTCTGTAGGTTACATCTTCCGCCAAATTTTTTGCAACATCTTCTTGTAAACCAGAAAAACCCGCAGCTTCTGCCATGGTTAGTACTGATTTTGTTGAAATATACCCATATTTTCTGGTACCTTCACTCAATGAGTTTTTCCTTTTTTCTCCATTTTTTTTCTTTTTGGAAACATCAATCTTACTTTTTTTATCCAATAAATTTTTTGATGGTTTTTCTTTTTTTACTTTTCCCATTTTTTCATTTTATCAATAACTAAATCGTTTTAAATAAATTTTCAAAATAAGTTTACTACTAGCCATTACTTGTACCGGGTTCATTATGTTTAAAACAAATAGAGTATGAAAACAAATTCCAGTACATAGAATAAACAAACTACATTAGCAATTCGTTATTTTCACAATGATTGTGCTACATAAAAATGAGTAAAGCTTTACAGTTGCAATTAGTATTCTTGAGGGCTTTTAAAATAATTATAATTTGATGAAATGTTCGTTAAATATGCTAATAATATGTGTCTTATTAAAAAATAAATATATTATTACAAATTATATTACAGAATACAATATTTAATAAAGTGAGCAATTAATTTTTGATTTCAATGTTAACACCAGTAAAAAAAAAAAAAATAATTAATGAAACTTTTTATGAAATAAGATTATACCTCAGTATGAAAACACCAAAATCGATATAAAATAAAAGATGACAAAAAAAAAAACAAATAAATACCATAAAATATAGTAACAATTTTTATTTAAATGAAAAAAAACAAATTAAAAATTAATATAAGCAAATTAATAACAAATTTTAGTTAACTCGCTTCTTTCGATGCCATATGTTTCATTAAATTAGTAATGAATCTTTCAATTTTTTTTAAGTCTTGAACTATCTCAGTTTTGTATTGCAAACACTATAAGAAATAAAAATAAAAAAAACGTTAAACATAATAAATAAAAATACAATAACATATTTCAACATATAACTTCAATTTTAAAAATTATAACTTAATTAAAACTATAATTAATATAGAATTTTTACTTTATTAAAATAACTATAAATATTTATAATCACAAGTAAGTTTTTTTTTTTTTATAGCAAACATTTAATTAAAATATTACCTGAATATCATCTGTAAGTTTTAAATATAGTAAACCATCTTTATGGACGTATTTCATTCTGTATCTGGCCTGTAAATTAAAATTTAATATAATTATGAAAATTATTTAAGAAATTAAAATTAATCCGAATCTTTTTTGAAAAACTAATTTAAAAAATTCTTATTTATTTTAAAGAGTGATAATTAAAATGTGCGAGGAGCATTGTGTGACAAGTTGAAGTTTTTTTTTACCTTAATAGGGTTTTGTAGATAAAGTCGTTCTCCTTTTTTTTCAAATTCTTCCCAAGATTTTATGTAAGTCATATTAAATACGATTCATTAAAAATCTTTAATATAAAGAAAATTTAAAATGTTCAAGAAAAAAAAAAAAGGTATATTGATAAAGGTGTTTTCATGTATGGTTCACCCAAAATTGGACACACAATTTAACGTACCACAGACTAAAACTTAATTATTGATATTAATTTAAGGTCTTATAAAAAATTTTAAGGTTAATCAATTCTATTAATTTTTAGCGATTTTAAAAAGTATTTTAGTATTTTTATTTATTTAAATTATAATAATTTAAAAAGAAACAATTTATTCCAGTAAAAAAAATTTTGATTTTTTATTTTTATGTCTATGGCTATTTTAAGTAACTTACAACTTATTCAAATTCAAAATAAACGATAAATTTAAATATAAAATTTTTGAATCATTTATTTATTTCTATTAAAATCTAATTATTTATATTTAATATTAATTTTTGTGACTTTAAATATTTGGTAGAATGTAAATCGGTTTTTTATCATCGGGAGTATTTAATAAGATGAACGTAAAAAATTGTTAATAAATTTTGTTATACAAAATGTCAAAATCGAATTTGAGTTTTTTTGACGAAAAACGACGTGTTAGCAAATTTAAAACTGATTGGGGATTTTGGTGGCAAACAGTGTCAGAAGTTCATATAGAAGTTAATATTCCCTCCAATACTTCAGCCAAAGATATAAAAGTCAAAGTGAATCCAAAATTTATAAGTTGTACTGTTAAAGGAAATGTAATTTTTGAGGTAATTTTTAAGAATTTGTTTAAAATAATTATAATTTATGTAATGAATTTAAACTTTTATTCAAATATTACTTCCAAATTAAATATTCAAATGTATTCCTATGTAAATATTTTCATTTTATTTTACTTTACTAAATTTTAATAATTTACTCATTTTTGAATAACAACATCATAATTGTTCAAACAATTATATATTTATTGAAATAACTTTTAATTATTGTCTTTTTAGGGAGAACTACCCAGACCTGTATATGCTGATGAACTAATTTGGACCATAGAAGAAGGAAATTTGTGTATTTTGCTAGCTAAAGCAGATCATTGTGTCAAAGATGATATGTGGGAATCTTTATTAGCTAATGGACAATATAAACCGGATCCCTTAACTCTTCACGAAACCAGAAAAAATTTAGATCTGGAAAGATTTCAAATTGAGGTAAGTTGATAATTTTTCAATGTTTTAAATATTTATTAATTAAAACTTGAATTTTTAGTTAAACATGTATTAACCTGCCTTTGTTTTTTTTTTTTATTCACAGAATCCTGGATTAGATTTTAGCGGAGCTAAATTATCGAAAAACTACGATAAACTACCTGGTTGGTCAAATGATAGATTAATGGAATTACAAGCCCAAAGTCAAAATCAAGGTAAGTGAATATAATTTATTTTTTATGTTTTATGTCCAAAAATTTAAAATTTTAACAAATTTAATAAGAAAAATAATTTTCATACCCATAAAAATTTAAAAACAACTTAATTAATCATTAAAATTAAAATCGCAAGCATCATTTTAAATTGGAATTGCAAATTATTAATACATTTGAAATTTTTCATAGCCCCATTTATGAATTATTTTTTTATCGTTTTAAGTATTAAGTCGTTCTTTTTTATAAAAAAATTTTTTCAATTAAACAATTATTAAATTTTTAATTGGATGAATTGTTGGGTTTTTTTTAGGTATTGATAAAATTGAAAATTAAATTTTTTTTAAAAAGTGGTTTACTTAATTTTTACTATGAAACATTGATTAAAACAAGAAACCCATTTTAGACATTTAAAAAAAACAAAACACTTTCATTTGACGTCACAAAGGAGTGCGACTCCTCTTAGAATCCAATGTTCTGGAGGTTTGCTCGTATTTAACCATAATGGTGTTATAAATGTTAAATCAGTTCTATTTAACTTTTTATAAACTGGACACTGTAATCGAACAAAAAGAAATCATTGATGAATTTTCCATTGGAAGTCATTTGCAAAAAAGGAATGAAATTTTAAAAAAAAAGGGGAAAAAATAATAAACCTGATATAATCCAATTTTAGGATCTTTTTTTATTTCATTCGTGTTAATTGCATAAATGTGAACTACGGGCATGAGAACAAACAAAACTTTGGGAGCGGATTCGGTTAATTTAGCATTTCTTTTATCCCAACCTGAGCCTTCTATAAATAAACCATAGACGTAAACTCCTTCCTGTAAATGACATTTAATTATATTAAAATTTTGAATATGTAAAAAACAGAAATTAAAGGAAACAAATTTACCGATGGGGGCCCTCGAACTTCTTCTTTCATCAATTTCAAAACGTCATTGTGCAATATAACTGCATCTAAAGCCCAACCTTTGTGAGCCCGAGCAACCTCTTGTCTCATGGCAGTTAAAAATCCTTTAACAAAAAATTAAATTTTTGTTAACGCGAAAAAAAAAAAGCGAAAAGGGGCAAAATTTCCAACTGGATCAAAAATCCACCTTGGGGATTAAAAAATCCCGTCATCCAAAACATAATTGGTCGACCGTTCATAAGCCACGTACGAAATTGTATGTCACGTTCTAAGAGTTCGGTAAACCAAAATCCTATACTCGATGATGTCCAAGAACCTTGAAGCCAGGTTTTAGGTATTCTAGCATCGTATATATTATCTAAAGCATCTCTTAAAGACTAAACAAAAAAAGAAAAAAGGAAAATTATCCTAATGATCGTTTGTGCAAAACATTTTTTTTTTTATTTTTATAAATTTTCTCTCCTCACGTCGTTCATAATTATCGTTCCTTCGATGGCCAATAAAAGATCTCTTAGTGTATCTCTAACAACGGTTACGACTCTTTGCATTCTATCGATTTCTTGTCGAAGGAAAATATTCATCGGTGATAATTGAGTCAACAACATTCGGAGCCTTAAAAAAAAAAAAAATTAATTTTTAAGATTATTATTATTATCATTTGACAAATTTTTTTTTTATACATTACAATACCTTTCTCTGATTTCAAAAGAATCATAATCTTTGGGTAATTTGGAAAGCATTTCTTTTGCTTGTCTTACGACTGCGTGTTCTCTCGTTTCCCCCTTACCCCCGGATGATTCTTTCGGTTGTATTAATAATATCGTGTCTAACATGTTTTTAGCCGTGTTCGATAAATACCTTAATATAAAAATAAAACAATTATTGCACCTAATAAATTTTTTTATAATTTATTTGGCGCCAAAAAAAAAAAAAGACCCCCGAATTAAATTACGTTATGTTAGCATTCGGATGAAGACCGTAAACTTGGGGAGGATCCACTTGAGACATTTCATCGATATATTCCAAATATTGATTTAAATATTTAAATCTAACGATTCCGTATCCTTTGTAAAAAACAAAATTTTCATTAAACATCGCTTCGGAAAACCAAACTTTTGTAAAAGTGTTGAGAAGTCTTTTATCGTAATCGTCGGTCACTCTCCCGCCATATTGTACTTCCCCCAACATGTATCTAAAAAGGAAAATGAATATTATTTCTCATTCGAAAGTCAAATTTCAAAAATCTCATTTAATATACCTGACTGTCGTCCAGCTGACAGGTTGATCTTTATTTAAAGCTTCCAAATGATTTTGACAAAACATGACGGATGCCAACCAATCCGAACTGTTAAATTCGTATGGTATGTTCCAACCTAAAGGTCCAAATTTTCTTCTCTCTTGAACGACGCTATGTAAAAACGATACGGCATACAACATGTATAAATACTGATGAGCATCCGTATAATCTAAAACATCTTGTGTCATTCCGCCATAAGTTCGTTTCAAACCGGCTCGAATACCTAATAACAAAAAATAATTTTTCATTTTAATACAATCAATCAATCAATCAATCGTTATCGATTTTAAATGTTTTGCATTTAAAAAAAAAAAAAAAAGAAAACCTTGCGGAGGTTCATTTGTAAATTGCAATGATATTTGTAGTAAAGAAATGGGAAAATTAGGATGAACTTCAGTTGTTATCCAAACTCTAAAATCTTCATGTATTGATTCAGCTTCAATTAATGTTGTAAATAATTCATTCATGTATTCAAGGCCCAAGTGACAATTTTGTAAAAGAACCCATCCTCCCTTTTTTTTTTTTTTTTTTTTTACAAAAAAATTTATTATTATTATTATTATTATTTAAAGCAAAAGAAAAAAAAACAAAATTATTATTATTATTATTAATAATTACTTCAGACATTGATTTTGCTATTAATTTCCTTGCATGTACTTCTTGTCCTTGACCCATGGAAATTGACTTACACGAAAACATGTTTCTTTTTGCCAATGTTTCTATATTAAGAGTAGGATCGGATCCCATTGATAAAAAGCAAATCAATGGAGTGTTGGGTCGAGATTCTTCAAAAATTATTTCGTAATTCATTATAACGGGTTCGGCATATTTCGGTCCCATTGATTGTGCTATGTATTTTCTTGATTGATAAATTATTCTATCTGGACACCAGGCCCTGTTTGAAAGACATTATTATTATTATTGTTGCTGTTGATGTTGTACTCTTTAAAAAAAAACCAGCGGAGGGTACCTAATGAGTAGCAAACGTTTGAAAACATCTAAATTTTGATAACCGTCTGGAAAAACTTCTTCTTCTGGTGCTTCTTTATCAAACCAAAGTTTCCAATTTTTTTCATTGTTTGTTATTTGATTCAATAGATATTGAAATTGTCGTAGATTTGACAATTGTACCAAATTAAGCCAAGTATTATCGCTAATCCATTTACAAGGTTTTGGTTGAACGGCATTGAGATCTAAAGCAGCTCCACCTGATAGTAAGTAGAAACGATAAAGAAAAAATAAGAAATTTTTTCTTCTTCTTCTTACTCAATTATAATCATTAATAACAACACGAAACCTTTTATTAATGTTTGAAATTCTTCATAAGTAATCGATTCTCTTTGTAAATCAATTTTAAACGTCATTAATAAAATAAATAAAAATTTATGTACTTCGTATAACGATCTGCTTTTATATTTAAATATTTCATATGTTAAATATTCATTTATGAAATTTATCCTTCTTGAAGGTATCAGACTTTTTTCCGATCTGTAAAAAAAAAAAAAAAAAATTTACTCGATTAGTTTTTAATTTTTTAAAAATTACTCCTCCCCTCCCCCCCCGTTATAAAATATGACGTCACCTCGCTAACGATAAATCAAATCTTTCTAAAAATTGAACCAATGATGTTTGATACATGCTGTTAACCATTGTCATATCCGTTATGAGAAAATAAAGGACACTTCCACGTGTGGCCACGGGTCGAAATTCTTCTCTGGCAGCATTGATTTTTATTTCCGTTTCTTCTGCAACTTGCAATTTTATTTTAACATCAGCCGCTGTATCCTTCGATATATTTAAAACGGTTATAACGCTTTCATCATCTACCAAAGATCCCTAAAATTTATAAAGTTTTTAATTATTAGTTAAATTTTATATATATATATTAAAATCTCCGCAGACATTTTTATTTTTAATATTAATCACCTCAACGGTAGATAATTTATGAAGCAAATTAGCTTCTAATTCTTTCATTTTTCTTTTATTGGCTGTCACACCGGTAATTAAATTTGTTCTCTCTATTTCAAGTTCTTTTTTTTCCGTTACAATAACTCTTCCGAGCAATTGATCTTCCAGACCTAAATAATAATATTTTAATAAATCATCATCACACACTCTCTCTCTCTCTCTCATTAAAAAAAATATAATTAATTATATATCCAGTAAGTAAATTCGTGCCTTTCATTGTAACCGTGAAATCAATAATTGAAGTCCTTGCCGCAATTTCTGGAGAATATGCTGGATTAGGGAGTTTCGTTGTGATATACAGTCTAAAATCTTTATGTACTTCAATTTCTTTATCTCCAATTTTAACCTAATCCGAACAAATATATTTATTTAATAAGGTTAAATATATACATTTAATATATGTATGTACATTAAATTTATTTGTTTACCTTTAGAGAAGTTCCTATTTTAATAAAATTCTTTTCTAGAACATTATCCAAAGCGGGATCTAATTCTTCTCCGACATCTTCAATGAGTAATGCTCTTCCTAATGAAACACTATCTTCGAGATAATTTCTAAAATATTTATGATTGAAAACCGTAACCTGTAATTATGAGTAATTAGTCAAAGAGATTTTATTAACTTTTTTTTTTTTTTTTTTATAACTTTTTCATAATATAATTTCATTCATTCACACCGTAAAATCATTATCTTTTTCCTTGTTTTTAATCCAGGCTTTTCCCTGACTTTGTGGATCTATAAGTAATGGATAACGTGCAGCTTTCGTCACGATTATACCATTTTGTATTGATAATTCATCATTTGGTAATCCTTGTAAATTCCATTCACCTATCTGATAATTAAAAAGCACATTTTCTTTTTTTTTTTATATATTTAATTATTAATAAGTTAATTGCCAAAAAAAAAAAAAAAAAAAAAAAATAAGCCGTTATTTACCGTTGCGGAATCAGTTAAATTATCAGTTATATTTAAATTAGCCGTAACTGGAATTTTTCTTTTGGCTAATTCGTCAAACCAACTTTTTTGTATTAAAAGACGAAAATCTTGATTGAAAGGACCGCAATAAGATAAAAATCCTACAATTTTTTATTTTTAAATTTATTTTACTTTTTTTTTTTTTTTTTTTTCGGAAAAATTATATCATTTCTTATTCTTTAATTTCATTATCACCTGTGAAAATGAGTACGTCTCCAATCAACCTTTCGATTTCGGATTTAAATTGAGCCAATTGTTCCGTCCAACGTATTCTTTCTTCCCCTAATCCGTTGATCAATGAAGATGCTGCATCCATTTTTGATTTACATTTTGCAGCATCATCAAGAACGGCCTATTTAAAAAAAAAAAAAAAAAATTTACTTACTTAAAATATATTAATGATGAAATAATTTGACTCTTCTCTTAAAAAAAAAAATTGATGATATCTTACTTGCTTCTTAGACATTGCGGTATCAAAAAGAATTTGCACAGCATCCAATTCTTTTTGTTTAGAATCTAATAATTCTTGAGCATTTTTCAATTCTTTTCTAGCTCCGGTTAATTTTGCTTGTTGTACAGCCAAATTAGCCTAAAATTTAACATTTTATACAACCTCTCTCTCTCTCTCTCTCTCTCTCTCTCTCTAATTGGTAGAAATTTCTCGTTTTTTTTTTTTTTTATTTACCTTCAACGGTAAAACTTCTTTGTTTACAACGAAAAATTCAGCCATGGCAATCGTCCATCGAATCAAACCGGCCACATTACCGCAAACGGTTTTGGCTTTTTCGAAAGTATAATCGCTAAATTCTAAATAAGGCTTCATTAAGTCGATCGTTTCCGCATTTATACGATCTTTTGGAAAATTTTGTAAATTTGACAGAAACTTTGAATCCGCCATTACCTAAAAAAAAAAAAATATTGAGTTACAATTTTAATTAAATTGTTTAATTTATAAAAAATACCTTTAATTATTTTAAATTAAAAATACCTTTAATGATTCTTGCCAGCTTGTCATTATAAAGTTTTTTTCTGGATCCACGGTTATAGGTAATAATTTTTTTTGAAACAATATTAATACCACATCCATAATACACGTTATCAAATGTGGAGGTTTACCCAATTTTCGAACTGTTGCAATATCAGCAGCTTTTATGGTCTAAAATTTAATTTTTATTAAAAAAAAAAAAAAAAAAACTTTTAAAATAATATACACAACAATTTAATATAAAGGGATATTTATTGTTATAACATTACCAGAAGAGCAGCTTCGGCTGCTTCTAGAGCAGGTCTCGCGGCTTCAAGTTTACCTTCTGCTACTGCTGTTTCTTTTCCGATTACCACGACCAAAGCTTCTGCTTTTTCTTTCACCGTTTGTACTTCGGCTTTAACAATGGCAGCAGCTTCTTGAGATTTACCTACTTCGGTTAAAACCTAAAAATCATAAAGGTTAATAATAATGTTCTTTTTAAAAAGGAAAAAAATCTTTTTGGAATGTTTATTACTTCTTCGGTTTGAGCCGACGCGACAGCAATTTCTTTCACTTTAACTTCAAGTTCTTTCTTTAAAGCGTCCACACTTGCAGCTGCTTCCACAAGTTTTGTCAAACCTACACTCATTCTTTTCGCCATCAAATTTATTGTATTTGATCTATCAACATAAATCTTTTTATAACCGTCAAGAAAAGATAAAAATGATTTCGGAGTGACATGAGTTTGACGTCGATACCTCAAAAAAAAAAAAAAAAACATTTATGAATCCTGTGAAATTGTAATTGATAAAATTATAGTATAAATACATAAATAATTGTATTCACTTATTGAAATACGCGACACAAATATCATTTACGTTATCGTGAACGTATGCCATGTTAATAATAAGTTCTTCTTTAACTTCCGGCGTGCATACAATATTAAAATGTTGCAAGAAATGATTAGATACGGCTATCAAAGCATCTTTCGGCCATTTTTGAAACCAGTCAATTGTTACACCGGAAATCAATCCGGGAAATTTTAACGATCTAGATCTAAATTTTCCTCCAACCTGATAAAAAATTATATAATCATAATTTTATATATATATATTAATAATTTAAAATGATTAAAAAAAAAGGGAAATATTTGGAGATTATTTACCGGAGAAAAGCAAAGAACTATGTGAAGATTATTTCTAGCCCGTGAAATAAAAAAGTCGTACAAATTGTCTGCTGTCGGTGGTCTTCTTGGATCTTTTTTCCTCATAACTGTTACCAAATCGTTCGTGATATCATCGAGTTCATCTTTTGCAAATAAATTAGCCACTTCTCCAGCGCTTAATATATTATTCAAAAATTCCAAGAAAGCTTCATCTTTAATATCATTATCGGTAAAAATAAATGTAATACCGTGACCTTCCGCACCGGCAACTTTGTATAAATATTTCAAATCGTCTTGGAAATTTGAAAGATTATAGGATCTAAAAAAAAGTATATATTTAATAAATTTACTTTTGGTTCTCAAAAGAAAAAAAAAAGAAAATTTAAAAGCTACTACGGATAAATTTTTGTACCGAGTTAGTGTTATTTGATGAGTTTTATAACCGGAAATAAATGATGCCAGTTTAGTGAGAGACTGTTTACCCGAACCGCCTACACCCACCAACATTTGATTCCCTCTAGGTGTTTCAATAACACGTGATATAATTATAAGGTGTATCACAGCATCCTGGAAAAATACCATGTCTAATTTGGCACCTCGAATCACATCGTTGTAACCCGCCATGTAAAAAAATAATTTATCTATAACCAACTGCCAGCTGGAAAAATAATAATTCATAATTATTAATAATAAATTAATATAAAAAAAAAAAAAAAAAACGGACGTTCACGTCAGATTTAATTTAATCAATATTATTTTGTATTAATATGAAACCTCTAAAAAAAAAATGTCTAACGACTACTTTTTAATTATAAAAATGTGAGACTAACTCGACAACTTCTTCGTAAATTTTGGGAGCTTCAAATACAAAATCTTCAGGTTCATCTCCCGTTGCTTCCGGAACATCACGTAGAAAATCAACAAAAAATGCATTATCATCTTCGTAATATTTAAAATCATCGTCAAGTTCTTGGTGTGCAATTTTTTGTAAATTATGTCGAAACCATTTTTGATCTTCGAATGTTGTGAACCTGAAAAAAATCAATAGAAAAAAAGGTTTAGCGTGGTTGGAATTTGTTAAAAATTCACTATGATTAGAGGAATGTATGAGCAGCAGCAGCAGCACCTATCTGAAATCACTCGTTTGCATTCGTGTTGCCATAATTTTAATAAAGTAACAATGGTTGGACATTCTGGATCTTGTATGTTTAATATTCCTTGCCATATTCTACTTAAATCTCTTAAATTAAAAACGTAATGAAATTTTGCCGGAGTTGGCAACATTTTATTTTTCGTTGTTTGCCACATAATTCTAGTTAAAGGAATTAATTTTGGTACAAACTCTACTATTTCTTGTTTAAATCGTTTTGAACAAAAATAACCCTCTCCAATGACAGCTATTAAAAAATTAAAAATTTTTTAAATTTAAATTTTTTTAAAAAATTCTTTTTTCTGTGAATTACAGATAAAAATTTAATTATACTAACAAAATATTTTGTCCATTGATTTGCTCGAAGGCAAAGTACAGTTAAAAATACAATATTGCCTTTTTAATCTTGGAGGAATGTCATTTCTTCCTCCGCCGGGATGTATCATGGCCGCCAAAAATTGAATGTCGATTATAGTTGAAAATTCTCCTGGTTTCTCCAACGAATAAAAACCTTTCATTTCCATTAATTGACGGACTATTTCGTTGGTGACTTGATCTCCCCATGCATTTATTACCGGCATATTAATATCATCTATAAACACGGACATTTTTCTTCCGTTCGGAGGCCCGTACGTGGTACCTACTCGTTTGTCTACGTAGCTTTCTATTATTCTCTAAATGAAAGAAATACAATTGTGCAATGCATTTTGTTTATTGATTTATTTATTTATTAATTAAATTAATTTTACCTGGAACATGTTTGGAGTGGTAGCAGAAGAAAAATTGAAACTTTTACTAAGATGAGTTTCGGGATCATATTTTGCCATAAAACTCTTTATCATTACGGTTTTGGCAGTTCCTTGTTCTCCTGTTAATAAGATTCAGTAATAAAAACATGATATTAATATTGCAGTGAGTGTGCAGGCGCTATTTTTTAAGGAGTTAGTAAGTAGTTATTACCTATGAGAAGTACACCTTTTGACTGTTTAGCAATGATTTCAATTAAAAATGCAGTTCTCACATTATCAACATTAGGTACTAAAATACTTGAATATTCAGGAACGGAATCTTCCGGATATACATAATCGACAACTCTTTCAGACCAATGTTCCCAAAATCCGTCATAGTTAACGACAAATTCAAATATAGAATCCCCTCCCTAAATGTAAAATAAATATTAATTTAAGGGTTTATAAAAATTTTGAAAAAAAATTAATTAATTTTTCAATTTACGTGAAGCTTTGGCCATTTAAGTTTTGATTTATGTCCCAATACAAAAGTTTCTAGTTTTTCCCGTTCATCAAGTTCCAGGACGGCTCCCAAACTCCACATTAAAGCAAACAAGAAAAACCTTTCCAAATGATAATCCGGAAGGGTTCCTAAAAAATAAATAATAAATAATTAATAATTGAGATTCATTCTTTTTTTTTTTTTTTTTTTAAATTTTTTTAAAATTTAAATATTTTAGACTTACGAGGATCATCTTCTGAATAGATTAAACCTTCGAGGACGTCACAACATTGACGAATATACAAAGCAGCCCCAATCGCCATTTTTGCCACCAATTTCGTTTGAACAAAAAATTGAAGATCTTCGTAAATTTTGTAAAATAAATTTCGTATTATCGTAGCTTCACCTTCGGGTCTCTGTTTTAACCATCCCTACAATATTATTTTAATTTGAGAGAGAGAGAGAGAGAGAGAGATTTGTGTACCAAACAAATTTAAAATGTAAGATAAAAATAAAAATTTATGGAACTGTGAAATTTACGTCAAGAATAGGCTGCCAATTTAATACGGATGAACTCATGAAAACCATTCCCATTCTGGATACGGTTGCTGGAGACGCATTATCTACATTATCCGGTTCGAATACTAATTTAGCATTTGGAGCCATAACAATTCTGTCTCCGTTGGCTAATGTCAAAGTTTTATTATCATCCAGTACGCTATTTAAATTTTCTATCCATACTGCATCGACGGGTCCATCCAAAACGATCCAAGTGCTATCCGTCTTTTTAACTTTCAAGGATCTACGCCATAATGTAGAAAATATTCCATCGGTCCAATCGTTTGTGGCAACATCCAATCGTCCAAACATTTGAGCTGCTGTGATAGCCTGTTTTTCATAAATATATAATAAACTTTAAAAAAAAATTATTTTTGATTTTAATAAAAAGAAATTTATTTGAGGAAATCACCTTTGGATTCATTCTCATTTCTTTGTGTGGATTTCCTATTTCGGTAAAAGATCGCATTAAAACGTGGATGCATTTGGTTTTCCCAGCTCCCGTTGGTCCCAACGTCATTAAACCGTGACGTACAAGAGATGTTTCCATTAATTGTACCAATTTTAAATTCCAAGGTGGATGATTGACTAAATTCATTTGATTACAAACTAAATTAATGGCAGTTTGAAGATTCTTTTTAACCACGGCTGCACCCAATTTCACGCCGGGAAACAAATCCTCAATAAGAGAAACAAAAAGCGATTCATCTTCATCGACCAGTTTTGATAAGTTCATGTCTCTGTTGTTGTTAAAAAGTTAAATAATGAAATTAGGAAAAAATTTTCAATTTAAAATTTTTTTTTTTTTTTTTTTTTTATCAAATTAAGACTAACTCATTCAAATTCACCAACTATTATTTTGTTTAACAACATAAAGTCTATAAAAAAAGAAACCTGTCGTGTTTATTAGGATAAAATGTCCGAAAAAACTTAAAATAGCTGAAAGTAAATCGATGTGAGGGTCCTCCCGCGGGGATCTGCATAGGGCTATGGGCAATGCCAAAATCCCTACTGTGAAAGAGGAACACCAAAATGCTGAACATTCTAAACATTTACCGAAAGGCATTTCAAACCACTTTGTACGAATGATGGCCACAATGATAATAGAAAGTATGGCAATGTAAAAAAAAAAACAGAAAAGAAGTAAATAAAATCCCGGTTTAACATCTCCCAAAATGCATGGAATGAAAACTAATGTCACAGCCAAAGTAACCGCCACTGCATACACAAGCGTGAGCCATTTAAATTCATTCTTCATTATATCATTTAAAATCTCCTTGAAATAATTTTTTATTACTAATAATTTAATTATAAATAATATTATTTAATAAAACCGATCGAAAAATAAATTTTTCCCTTTTTTTAAAAAAAAATTGTAAACAAATATAAATTCGAAATAAGCGCAAAAAAATCATTTTAGCAAAAAAAATTTTTACAATTTTTTACTTATTTTAAAAATGAAAAAAAAAAAAAAAAAAAAAAAAAATCAATTTTAAATAAATTCACAAAGTATGAACTAAAATTTTCCATTTTTTTTTTTTTTTGTTTCTTTTTAGTCATAAATGGGGCAGAGACGTGAAAACTCATGTTTAATATGTTAAGAGAGGGAAATTAAAGTTTACCTATTTTTTTTTTTTTTTTTTTTTTTTTTTATATAGAAATTGAAAATAAAATTTTACCTTAAAACTCTCATGACCAACATTTCTTCAGAATCGGATGGATATTGTTTTTTTTGCGATCCTAAAGTTCTCAAAACGGATAATATATTTCTTAAACCGAAATCGTAATGGACTTGTTTGCTAAGTTGCTCTTCGCAAAGTTTGTACAAAGTGAAAAATTTTTTCGCCAATGGTACATTTTCTTTAAATCCGCAAGAAGCCAATTTAACTCTCATGATGATTTGCCTGTCCGGTACCATCATTGCCACAGTTCTAAACATAATTTTTAAATTTTCCGGTAGTTCCTGACGTCCGGCATAACCAGGGTTCATAGTTATAAATATACCAAATTCCATATTTAGAGAAACCATGTCACCATCGCTATATTTTTTTCAAGTTATCATTCAATTTGTCTTAAAGTCAAAAGTATTAAAGTATTTATGAAAAAATGAAAAATATACCTAAATATAAAATATGATTTTCGTTCTTTTTTCGCTGTGAAAACAATATTTATTTGTTGGGCAGCGACCGAAAGCACGGGTAGTTCGATTCTATTGAATTCATCGAAGCATCCCCAAGATCCAGATTGTGCTAAACCTTTAAAAATTCTTCCCAATCCTCTGAAATCCATTTGATCCGAACAATTAAAAACGACGCAATATTTTCCTAATGCTTTTGCCATATCTTTGGTTGTTTCCGTTTTACCAGTTCCAGCTGGTCCGGCTGGAGCTCCACCCATATTCATTCCTTACAATATTAAATTAATTTAAATTTTTTAAAATAAACAATTTTTTGTGTGGTAAATCAAAAAAAAAAAAAAAATTCTCTTTACGAACCGACTGATTGTGCGAGTGTTATATAACATCGGTCGGTTAATGGAGTTATCACAAGACGTTCCGTGCAACCCAAAAATTCATTTTGATATATGAAATTAACATCGGTTATTCGTACCAAACATTCTTCTTCCTCTTCCAACCAATAAAATCTTGCTTGTTTTAACCATTCGAAATCGGTAACGCTTTTAACTTTCATTCTGACTAAATCATCGAAAATATCTCTTTGATGAACGTGAATTGTGACAAGAGTTTCAAATTTAACGCGAGTGAATTTCGATAAATCTTTTGTCGTTTGTTCGATTAATAAATTCAATAAAGCTAAAAATTTTAAGTTTGTTTCTTTCATTATTGTCTGTAAATAAATATAAAAATTTTTTTTTGTGGTTAAAAAAAAATTAATTAAATAATCTTTTGAAAACTTAATTTATTATTGTACAAAAACCTTAATTTTAGTTTTATTTGTTGCAATATATACCTTGTCAATTCGACATTTGTTAAGCGCCAATTCAGAATCCCTGGTCCAAATAAATTGAATTCCTAATAAACCAACTTGAGCTGGAAATTTGTCTAAGAAATCAAGAACTTGAAAATCGGGATCTTTTATGGCAACCGCAGCTTGACCAATGACAATATTCAATGATTGAAGTGCCATTTTTAGTAAATTTCCTAACCAAAATTCAACTCCTCCGATAGCAAAAACTTCTTTTTCTAATGGAATTTTTTCCATTTCTTTCGACATGATGGCGGTAATACGATCGTATACTTTATCATCAAATTCAACCTAAAATTTAAAAAATTTAAATATAATTTTTTTTTTTTTTTTTTTTTTTAATAAATTTTGATTAAATGACAAAAAATTTTTAATAAAAATGCATTTTTACCATGTAAACATTTTCAAAAACACTCAATAAATGATTTTGAATTGTGTGACTGTCCGATGCTTGACCTAAAATTTCCAGCAAAGCAGGATCGGAAACGAAAAAAAATCTTGGAAACAATAATCTTTTTGATTCCAGGTAACCGGTTAATGATTTTTGACATGATTCCAGTTGTTCCAACAAGTGTGGTAACATTTGAAGCATTGTTTCATCTCCGACGCACACCTCAATCACCAAAGCTATGTCTCTTGCCCTGTGCATAATTCTTACCCAAGACTTATCAATGGCCTAGTAAATATAATTTACAATTTGCAAAAAAAACTTCGACAACCACTTTTAAACCTAATAATATTTTATAATAATTTATTAATGTAAATTAATAAGAAAAAATTAATTCAAGCCTACCGCAAACCTTTTCGATTCGGCTGGAAGTTGTTTAGCTATATCACCACCGACGAAAACAGCCTCCAAATAAACCCATAAATTTTGAACCGTCATCCAGGTTTCCAATATTTCCGAAGTTGTGCTTAATTTCCACACCCACAATTGAATATCTTTTTTAAAGAATGCATTGTACCTATAATTAAAATAAATTTTGGTGATGGAATTGATTAATGTTGTAATGTGTCAATTACCTGTTGGAAAGAAGCGAGGATAAAAGCATTAAACTGTCTTCTAATAAAGCAATTATTTCTGCAGTTTCCGTTCCCTTTAATAATAATTCTCCACGACTTTTGAAATGTGAAAAACTCAATTCCACCACAGACCAATCCGCTATTACTTGTTTTAATTTCGCTTCAATATCTTTTTCTTTAATGGCACTAATGCAAATATCCTAAAATAATATTCGAATTGTCCACGTGAAATTTTTTTTTATTTTTTATTGTTGTAAATAAATTATTTACAAAGACAGAATTAATAATTACCTCGACATCTTCTTTATATTTTAACAATGGCGCATCCATAACATTTTTCAATAAAAACGTTTCTGATTCCACATCAAATTCATATCCCAAAAGTTTTGATAGCCTTATCCAATGTCTATCTTTCATAGCCTTATTAGCCATCATTTCCAACAGGGGACAAGTTTCATTAAAATCATCAATTTTCTTTTTTAATTCAATGAATGCTGGCCAATCTTTCATACCTTTTGGTAATTTTCGACATCTAATTAAAAAAAAATACACCACAATTTATAATCAAATGAAATTTTTTTTTTAAATATATTTTTAAATAAAGTGATTTAGTACCTATTTTGAAATTCCGTTAATTCGGCATTTATAACATCTATATCAATATCCGCCCACAAAAGATTATTGTAACCGTCAATCGAACGCATTACTTGTACATATAACGAATAGAGTTTGTTGAGCAAGTTCATTTGTTTTTTACGTTCAAATAATGTTGGATAATCACTCAATGGTAAACCGAATAATCTTTCTCCGTTGGCATATCTTTCATAACGTTCCCATAAATCATCAAAACGCATTTGAAATAATGTGACTCTAAAAAAAAAAAAAAAAAAAGTTTTTATAATAATAAAAACTAGTTTTTAGCTGAATTTTTAACTGAATTTGTTGAATTATTTTTTTAAATTTAAAAACATTTAATATACCTATCGCTAGCTTCGCGAGCAGCCAATCCAGGTACAAGAGGTCCTCCAACTTCGAAATCTCTATCGAAATTTTCTAAATCCATTTTAAATTTTTTTATTTCTTTTATTAATTCTACTTTAAATGGTTCTTGAACGTCCACCAAATTCTTTTGAACCTTTTTCGACTAAAATTTAAATAATATATATATATTTTTTTCTTTTATACAATCCTCTTTCAACTTATATTTAAACTTTTTATTTAAAATACCGTTTCAATCATTAATTCAAAATTATATCTTAGAGAATCAACTTTTTCCTGTTCTTCTTTGGGAACAGTAACACCAAATTTAGCAAATAATGCATAAGTTTCTTCAATTAAACCCAAAGTTATGTCAATTCTTATAAAATTTTCTCTAATTAAATCTAAACAACTCATGGCTGATCTAACATCATCCAAATCTAATTAAAATAAATCAATTTATATTAATTTTTATTGGCAAAAAAAAACATTTTTTTCTCAATTTTTGTAAAATTTTACCATTGATTGCTCTCGAAAGAATATTATTTCGCTCTTTAATAAAATCAACAATGGATTTTAATTTTAAACCGTATGCGTGCATTAAAAATTTTCCTAATAAAAATTTCCATGTCGTAGCTTCGGCAAGTAAAGCACCTTTAATTTTATCTGTAAATATTAATTTTTAAATTAATGATAATAATAATAATTTTTTTTTTAAATAAAAGAGTTTAAATTCCTTACCCAATCGTACTTCCAATGCTCCGATAACGTGTCTTTCAGGTAAACTTTGTACTAAATCAATATTAACGATAAATTCGGTAAATTTATCTTTTATTTCCTGATATATGGGCTCCTGATCGACAAAACTTTTAACTTGAAGTTCTCTATCATCGGCCCACAAATATGAAAATTTTAAATATTCCTTTAAAAAAGGGAAAAATTAATACATAAATTTTATTTTTTATTTTTTTTTTTTCATTTTTATGTAGGGGAAAAATTTACTTAAATGCTTACTTCGTTACATTTAATAACGTCGGGCTTTAATAATAGCATGGCTCCTTGTAATGACATAACATTTCTAACAATTTCTTTGTGATCCGCTATTAGTTTATAATAATTTTTCAATTTCGTTTTAAATGAACCTTTTTTTAAACCATGTTCTAATTCATTTTCTTCTTCCTCTAAAATCTCTTCTTCTTCATTTTCTTCGTGTTCTTGCGATTCTTCAGTTATAAGTTTTTCACCTTCATCTTCTTCTTCGATTTCTTCTTAAAAATATCATATTAATTTATATTTCAATCGAAGCAATTTAATATTATCAAAAATTAAACGACGTTAATGACAATATTGAGTGATGGATCTAACCTTCAAATATTGGTTTATCTTCAATAGCGGCCAACTTATCCGAACGTTGACCCCATTGAATTATTCCTTTATGAGTTTCTAAAATATTTGATACCACCTTCCCGCAATACGATTGTATTTCATCTAAATTCGGAGATATTGAAATGGTCGGAATATGTAATACCATATGAGTGTATAAAAATGGTTTTATAAAATTTGATTCTTCTTCGGTAACGACGGTAAAAGCAAAAGCTCGCCGTCTTAGAGCTTCTAGAGATGATTTTGTGGCACGTACAAGTGCATCTATGCTCCTTTGGAAAAAATACGCAAACATGTCCATACAATCATTTTTAAACTGAGTAAGATCCTCTTCGGTTACTTTTTCCACTGCTCTAAACGCTTTAAAACAAATATTAAATAATTTTTTTTTTTTTTTTTTTATTTATTATGTTAACGGATGCATAATTAAAATTAACACACAAAATCTTGTACCTATGTCATCGGAAATAACTAAATTCATGGCAGAACTACTTGGTTTTAAAATTTTCGATGGATCTAACCAAAAATATTTTTCATTGGCCACCGAAGGAACATCAAATGTATCAACAAAGCGATCGATGAGTTCAATAGCCGCTTCTTCAATCACAGAATATTTGGTTTCTATTTCTTTTTCTAAATTTAGTCTCAAAGTCACATTTGATTCGTAAAATTCTTGAGGTGAAACGGCTGAATCCGTTGGGATTTCCAAGAAAGAAGTTTTTGATATGGCCAGCAAAGGCTCGTCAATACGAGCAGCTTTCATGTCAACCAACTAAAATTGTATTATACAAATTTATAATTAGGTACACATAAAATTTTTCATTTTAGATTTATAGAAAAAAAAAAAACCTAAATTTTATACTTGGCGAGAATCTCATGTACTCAAATTAAAGGTTGCAAAAGTTTGTTTTATAATTTTATGAATTTTTAACGTTTTTTTTTTTATTATTACTTACTTCTTTTATAAAGCAACCAACTTTAATTAACTTTGTTTCAACTTGTTCGCAAAAGTTAGATATTTCGGAAGATACCCAAGTTATATCGGCCATACCAGGATTAAAAGCCAGTTCTAAATCGTATAATAACGGTCGCATCAATGGTAAAAATAAACGAGGAACAGACCTCCTGCAAATTATAATTTATATCCTTATAATTTTTTATTGTAATAAAAACTTGACGTAAATTATTATTTCTCTACGCGTGAAAATTTTACTAGCCTTATTCTCATGTATTCAATAACAATCGCTTTAATTTTTTCTTTGTTACCCAAAAGTTTTTCTTTGTGAAAACAAACAATGGCAGCCGTATCGGGTACTTTTAAACCTAATTTCCACATGTATTCAACTTCTCTAATAACTTCTTCTATGTAACTATTAAAATTTACATTGATCATATTTTTTCTAGGGTGTTTAGTTAAAACTGGAACCACTAAACATTCTTCAACTTGAGAAACATGTTCACACCAAAGTTGATGGTGAACCAATTCATATTGAACAAATACTTTACAAATACAATTGTATAATTTTATTACTTTCTGAGCTCGAGGATGTTCTATAACCGCTTTCTTAGTCTATAAAAAAAAATTTTTTTAAATTACTAATGATTTATACAAAAAAAAAATATATATTTATATATATTTTTTTTTACTTTAAAAATATCCATTGGTTCTTCTATTCTTTTATAAAGCTGTCGAACCCAAAATATTCGTCCAGAAACTGGAGGCATATTTTTAGGAACCGGACAACTTTGTCGATCTTCATTATATCTATCTCTCACATCACCAATTTCGTCGTAAAATTTATCTAATAATTCTAAATATTTTCTATTTATAAGCAAGCAAGGTAAATTCAATTTGTCAAATCTAAAATCAAACCAATTTTTTATTTTATATTAAAAAAAAAAAATTCTTTTTGTTCCAGATGATTCGACACACTCAAATAACTGAAAACGATTTAAAAACTTTAAAATGATTTCTATTGATTATAACCTCTCTAGTATTCTTAATGATTCTTGAACGTTTGGCATTGTAGCTAACGTTTCACCCAAATAATTTCTTATTTCTTGTTCCCAAGTATTTACTTGTTGTTTAAAAACATCATAGTCAGCATCGAAATACGGTTTTCTGTGGTTTAAAGCGTCATATGGTTTTGAAGCCATGTCATTAAAATATTTATTGAAACTTTTAACATAATAATCTATACCTTCAAGTCGAGAACTTTGAATAATTGAATATGCTAAATAAGTTTCCAGCGTATCTGTTAACTGAAAATTTAATAATATATTATATAAATTTCCCCAAATTGTAATAATAATAATAATAATAAATACTGATATTTATCAGTAAAAAAAATATTATAAATAATAAAAATTTTGTCATACTCTCTCAAGTCTAATTCGAAAAGATTCAAATTTAACAAAAACATTAGCTTCTGAACAACCAAATGCTTTTTCTTCGGGATTTTCATTTATTTGTCTTTGGGTTTCGGCAAAGCAACTTTTATATTTTTTATAAAGATTTAAACATACCTGAAAAATATAAATTAATTGTAATTAAAAACCAAAAAAAAATTTTTTTAAATGATTTTTTTTTTTTTTTTTGCAGATTTTACCCTCATTTTTGTTATAATATCTTTTTTTTTATGTTCCCAAACGGTTTTTGTACCATTTTCTGTTAAATAATTTCTACACTGCGTAACCATTTGATTGGTTACTTTAACCAAAAGTGCTGTCACTCTTTCTGAGGTATTGTAATAACGAGAAGTAGCATAAATCATACGGATTGTGTACATTAAACTTGATATGTGGTCTCCCATTGTGGTAGGATCACACGTGTATAAAGGTTCACTGTACCTTTCCAATGCATATAAATATTTAACATTATCTGCAGCTTCGTTACAAGCTTCAGTGATTCTATTATCTAAAGGGCCCCAAAGCTTTCAATTTAACAAAAAAAAAAAAAAATTCATTAAATATATTTATTAATTCGTCAAGTGATCGACAAGAAAAAAAAAAAAAAAAAAATTTACTGAATCTTACTGGAATTATTTTAGACCTTGAATATCGTAAACACTGCAAACACATTTTTAATTTTTCAGTTTTTATAAATTCGACAACTGAAGTAAATTTTGTTAGCCATTTTCTCCAATATTCTAATTCTGCCATTGGTCCAACATCATCTTTTTCACGCCTAATTTGTTCTGCTTCAACTAAAACCTAAATAATTATTTAAATTAAATATTATAAATTTTATGTCACTCCTTCAATTTAAAAAAAAAAATTTTTTTATTACTTTTTCTATTTGTTTAACCCAAATTTTCCCGTAGGCATTTACTTCTGATGCAATATCTGGATTTCGGGCAGCTATTTTTACATCCTCGGGAGTTGTTAAAAAATTTTTATATATTTCTTCGGGAAATTGAAATTTAATTTTACCATCTAAATCTGATTTAGTAGCTGAAAAAAAAAAACAAAAAAAAAAAAAAAAAACAAATTGAACTTGATTGATTGATTGAAAAATTTAATTAACGTGTTTTTTTTCAATTCCGAAAACGCAGAAAAAAAATTATTATTAACCGGAAATAAAATTATCAAACGCTTTATATTCGTCTAAAAATTCTTTTTTTGCCATTAAACCAGTGTTTGTTTTGTTAAGTTCACCCCATTGTGTAAATACTTCCAATGATTTGGATGAAGTTCTTCCTAATAGACCTTGCATGGCAGATACCGTATTTATATCGTTTGGATCAACTTCTAAAGATGCATACAACATATCCTATAAATGCGAAACGCATATACATAACTACCGATAATAATAATTATAATAATTGTTATTAAAATAAAATAAAAAAAAAATTTTCTCACCTCGCAAACGTTTCTTGGTTCGATATTTATGTGACCTTTAGTTCTATAAACCACAATAGCTCTGTCTTTGCATGGACTATCACTTCCATCAGTTACAATAATTCTTTTAAAAGGAAGTGTGTTGTCAGACAGTGCTCTTCCTGCCTCTAAACCATGATGAAAAAAAAAAATAATAATAATAATACTAACGCTTAATTTTATTCTGTCAAAATTTTATTGATTTATTTCTTTACCTAAAGGAGGAGGTTCCATTTCTTGATATAAAAAAACGACAGCTCTACGACCACCTTCTTCCGTTAAGCTTTCTAATAATTTAATATGTTGATCATTATCAATAACACCTTCTTCTACAACTTTATACTCGATTCCAAATAATGTTGCAACCATTTCTAATATATGCCGATGCTGCATTCGTATCGCTGATAAACGTGCGTTCCTATTTTCTTTTGCTTCTTGCTAATAATTAAGTAAAAAAAAAAAAAAAATTATTATTATTTCTAACGAATAATTTTAATAATTTGTATGAAAATAATATTAATAATAAATTATTACATATCGTTTTTTTAAATTTTCTTGCCATAGAAGACTTGTATCCACTTTAGATCTTTTTTGAGCTGCAAATGCTGCTAATCTTGAGCTTAATGAAACTAAATAATCAGCATCAACGGCTGGAGTTGAACAAAGATCGATTTCGGCACAATTTTTTTCCTCTTCATAATTCATTTTTATTTATTTTATTTTATTTTTTTCTTTCTCACAACTGAAGAATTGTTAAAAATTCACTAATTTTCTTTTTTCCCTTTCTTTCTTTCTTTCTTTCTTCCTTTTATTATTAAATAAATATTTATTATAAATTAATAAGTCTTTGTAAGAAGACGATTTCACTCATTTTCTTGTACAAATTTAATGTAAAATGAATTTTTCAGGTTAATTAACAAGTTTTTCCTATTATTATTATTCCTGTAATTATTTTTTCAATAATTTTTCATTTAATAAATCACACTGAAACCGTAAACAAAATAAAAAAAATATCATATTAAAACATTCTTAATAAAATAAATAAAATAATAAAATTATAATAATGATAATAGCAAAATATAATTTAAAAATATATAAAAACTTACTTTTTTTTAAAATAAAAAATAATTATTGATTACATAAATAAAATAACGCATTTTTATTATTATTATTATTATTTATTACTGAAAAACATTTTGCGCTAAAAGTATTTTCAAACTTTTTAAATAAAAAAAAAAATATTTTAATTAACGCAGTCAAATGTTTTTGTTTTTACTACGTTATATATATATATATACACAGAGATTTTTTTATTTATGATTTTAATTATTTATAAAAATATTTTTAAAACAATTTTCATTTTAAAAAAAATTTTTTTTTACTTTGTAATTAAATTTCATAATTTTATATCTCGTAAAAATTATCATTATTTGCCAACTATATTAACAAACTTAAAAAAAATTAATATCACAAAATATAATATTAAATTAATATTATATAATAAAATGAAAATTAAAAAGAAAAATTATTTTAAAAAATCGAAAAAAAAAAAATACAATTTTAATAATTGCAACAAATAAATAATTTTTTTAATTAATAATATAAATTTATAATTTGATTATTTATTACAAATTAAAAAAAAAAGGGGGGGGGGGTTTATATAAATTTAAATAAAACAAAAAAATATTACGTTACATTTAATTTACATCCCAGTATAAAAAAAAAAAAAAAAAAAAAAATTTATGCTTTTATTAATGTTAAATAAAAATTAACGCATATATTACACAATAATATGCATAATAAAACATTTTTTTTTGTTTTTGTTGCATGATCATCAATTTAAATTTTATCATTTTATCATGATTTACATGAAATATTTAAATTTTTTTTACTTATTAACTTAGTGTCTTGAAAATATATACAAAAAATTTATATTTTTAACATCCTAAAACTTATATTTTATAAAATAATAATAATAATAATAATTTATTTTTACGGTTAAATATAGCTATACAAATATTTAAGTTTGACGTGGAAGTTTTGTTTTTTTTAAAAAAAAAAAAAACAAATATTTTAAGTAAGTAATAATATTTTAAAATAAAAAAAAAATTACAAAATATTTAATTATAAGTTAAAAGGCAACTTATGTTAACCATTCGTTTAAATGTAATTTTGTTTTTCTTTTTTTTAAATGAATTTAAATCACAATAACTAACATTGTTAATTCTGTTAATGATTAATTTCAATATGTAAAATCCTCCGTTATTATTATTATTTTTTTTTTGGAGAAATCGAAATCAATTCGAACCTCTTTTATGAGCCAGATACAAAAATAAAATAGATGACAATGCAGAAACGAGAAAAATTACATCGAACCACCTGTGATAAAAACTAAATTGGAGATCTCCTAATACTTCTGTTATAATTACTCGATATTCAGGAGGTACACTCATTCTCATTAAAAGAACTGATGATACGAAATACATTCCCTAAAAAATAATAATATGCAAAATCATTTAAATAACAAATAAATAAATAAATAAATGCAAATAATGTTTAAATCGTACCATGATTTGGGCAAGTATTAAAACTATCACATTAGATGATTTGCTGCTGGATATGGCATAAAAAAACTGAAAAATAATTTGTTATAGATTTGTTGAGCAAGAGGTTTTTTTTTCTTACAAATTTTATTTTTACAATATTGGGGCTTAACATTTTTCTAACACTTGAGAGGTAATTAAAATATAATATTTATAAAAACAAATACCTTTGTTAGAGTGAGTAATAAACCCCTAATTGAAGTGACCATCATGCATCCCACTAAAAGAAATGAAACATGTTGAGACCAAAAAGAAACATCTATTTCAAATCCCATCCAATGCACAGCTATTTCAATTCCTCTCGTAACTGGATCTTTTTTTCCAACTCTATCAAATATTATATTAATAGTACACTAAAAAGATATTTTTTCACGCTGAATTTTTCCAAAAAATTAAACAAATGTTTTAGTATAATTAATAAACAAATTCAAATCCATTCTGTCCTTTATTTTCAAAAAAAAAAAAAAAAATTTACCATAAATATTTTCCATATACAGTAAAATGAAAAAATGTAACCTAAAACGTTGAAATATTTTCCCTTCCATGTTTTAGCCCAACTGGATTTTTCGTACATGTTACGAATGTCGTGGGCTTCTAAAAATAATTGTCGACTTAATTCCTCCAAACCAGTGATTTCGAACTTAAGCTGAGAAATATCTAATTTTATTCATTAAAGAAAATATTTTATGGTGAGATTTCATAAAAATTAAATGACACAAAAACAAAATTTATAAAAATGATAAAATTTTCTTTAGATTTTTAAAAAGAATACTTTCTCCCGAATTACGACCAACGGCTGTAACGGTTTTCAACATTCCCCACCAACCACTTCTGCTATCTTCTAGTTGCTTGTTTTTTAATTTATTACCCTTTTTAATTAAGGCGATCCTTTTCTTTTTGACAAGAATCATGTCTATCGTTTGTAGCAATCTTTTTTCTGTTGCCACCATATCTGACACAGATACCGGCCTAAAAACAAATATAAGTAATTAATTATGTGTTGAGGGGAAATGCAGCACAAGGAAAAAAAACCTGAAGGCAAGGATAACCTAATAAAATAAGCCATTGAAGTATAAGGGTAATTAACAGCTCCAAATCCTGACAATAAGGCCATGACAGTAACTCCGATAACACCAATTCTACTTATACCCTGTTCAATGGAGAATATGCCTTGTTTAGGACTTAAAATTGGAAATGGGTCTCCCAATTTCCAAAATAAATAAATGTAAAAGCACCAGACAAGGCAGGTAAGTAGTTTAAATAACTGATTTTTAACTAAAAAAACAAAAAAAAAAAAAAAAAAAAAAAAAAAAAAAGAAATTGACAATAAAACAAGTTTTAAAAAGTCTAAATTTGCAAATGTAATCAATTTATATTGTAATGAATGAATAATTAAAGAAAATAATAATTAACATTAGTTAAAGTTTTAAGAAAGTTTTTTAATTGTAATTATTTTATTGATTATGTATTATCACACATATACATAAGGTTTTAAAATTTAATAATTTGAAAATGTTAACTAAAATTTGTTTAGGCAAAACAATCACTATTTGGAAACTCAAATTAATAATGTAATAACAATCTTCATTAATTTGTTAATAATAAATAAGGAAAAATTTTATTTTTTCAATTAAAAACCTATACTTCATAAAATTTATGAATAAATAATTTCTTATAGAAAAAAAAAACGATGAAATATTAATAAAAATGATGTACCAACCTATTTGCATACTACTTAAAATAAAGTAGCCAATGTAAAATGGTATAAGAACAACAATCATAAACAACATAATGTATAGACCTAAGTTCCAATGGAAATACCTAGAACTGAAGTTAAAAATAATTATTGTAACAAATTTTAAAAATTTTAAAAACAAAAAATTTTATCGATTTAAATATGTTAATTTCAATGATCGTGTAAGACTTTTTTTTTTTTTTTTTTCATAATTTTAATTGTTCAGAATGTAAATTAAATAATGTGTAATTTAAATCATCTTTACCTGGAATCTAAATACCCAAGTATTTCAAATATAATAAGTTCAAACATGGTGCAAGATAAAGAAAATGTAATTGAAAAAAGTAGTTGTACTAAATGATGATGGACTTCATAGTCTTTAAATAATTTTTTTACAAAAAAAATCCAGCCTCCCACAAAAAAGAAAACCTAGAAATAAGAATACATGATAAAAATTAATGACAGTTATGAATGTTCAAATTGACTAGAATTTTATAAATAAGGAGTTTTAACTATTAATTTTAAAGTAGTATATTTCTTTAATATGTTATTAATAGTGGAATAATAAAAAAAATTTTGGTACTTTGACATTAAACCTTTGCAAAGTTTTAGGTTAGCTCCAGATTCGCTTACCTGGCTTACAATCATAATAAAAGTATCTTGTATAAAAGTCATGATTAACGCAATGTGCCATAAAGATCATTAAAAATTTATATTCAATACTCTGTGACAAAATTATAAAATTGTGTACTTTATTAAATCATGTTCTTATTAAATATTGTTTGAACTTATTAAAAATAATAACGTGGCAGTAGAAAATTATAATTGAGTATTTATTAATTTTACAGTTAAACATAATGTAAACAAATAAAAGGATTCGAATTAATAATCATGGGACAGGGAAGAAGCCAATTTACAGAAGAAGAACTTCAGGATTATCAGGTAACTGTTTAAAGTAGAGTTTTTATTTTCATATCAGTTTTTTTTTTTTCATTTTTTGTTAATTTTAAATTTATTTTTCATATATAATTCTGCTTTGCCCAAAGGATTTAACGTACTTTAGTAAAAAAGAAGTTTTGTAGTAAGTTGAATTTTATTTTAATCATTTAATATTGTTATTTTTTAAACAAAGTTTTTTACTTTTATTTATATAATATTTGTAGTGCTCATCAAAAGTTTAAAGCTCTTGCTCCCGAAAAAGTAGGGCACAATAAAAATGCTAAACTTCCAATGGCCAAAATACTTCAATTCCCTGAATTAAAAGTTAATCCATTTGGTGACAGAATATGCCAAATATTTAGTTCTAGTCAGGATGGAGATTGTACTTTTGAAGATTTTTTAGATATGATGTCTGTATTCAGTGATGCAGCTCCAAAAGCTGTGAAAGCCGAACATGCATTCAGAATATTTGGTGAGACTCATTAAAATAGTTATTATATTAGATGTAGTTACAAACTTATGTACAGCAAAATATACATAAAAAATTCATTGGTTTCTTCTAATTTACCAAAATAATTTGTATTCACATGCAAAAATGTAAAGTAAGCTTTCCTAAATTTTTAGATTTTGATGGTGATGATATGTTGGGAGTTCCAGATTTAAGGAAAGTTATCGATAGGTTAACAGGTTCACAATGTTTAAGCGAACAAGAAGTACAGTTAGTAATTCAAAATCTCTTGGAAGAAGCCGATTTAGATGATGATGGAGCTCTGTCTTTTGCAGAATTCGAACACATTATTAATAAGTCATCTGATTTTATTAAGTGAGTGTTTAGAAAATAACTAAAATTTTTTTATTTAAAATGAATGTAAAAAAGTATTTTTCTCTAAAATATTTATTATTTAATTCTTTTTTTTTTTTTTTTTTTTTCCAGCACTTTTCAAATTAGATTATGAAAAGTTTTACAAAAATAATATGGATACTATTAATCACGATATAATAATTAAATGAGTCACTGTTATTAGCTATTATGGTATGATAAATGTTATTCGAAATAATTTTTATGAAAACTGATAATTAATTGCTTAAAATTTTTATTTTAGTTTTTTAAGTAATTTATAAGTATGTAGACTTTTAATTTTAATTTTAAAACAGATATTTTTTAAATGTATTTAATTATCTTTACTTTTATTTCAAAGTGTAAATATAGACGAGTTACAAATCTGCAAATTCCTATGTATCGATAAAACCTTTGGTTAAATTTAAATATTCAATCATTTGTTTGCTATACACACACTCGCACATTCTTTTACATTCTTATATAATTATAAATTTATGTATAATTTATTTGTGTTTTATAAATATATTTATTTAGTGGTATTTGCTGTATGTGAAAATTAAAATATAGAACAACATAAATATTGGTGATAAATTTTTAATATACAGTGTTTTTTTTTTTTTTTTTTAGATTATTTTTCTTTATAAAAGTAAATATAAATATAATAAATAATTGTACTCTTTTAAAAGTAAAAAGAAGTAAATTTATTAATTTTTATATTTTTGAAACAAAAAAATGTTAAAACTCATTAGAAAATTTTAATTTTGGTTATACAGTTGAATATATTATTAAAAAAAAAAGAAAAGTTTTTTTTAAAAGTAATTTCTTATCAGAATTCATTTAAGCGTATTTATCTTTAATAATAAATATTCTTTGATATTGATTGTAAGTTTAGGTTTAATGTGTGGTAGATTTAAATAATAATTTTCAATGAAAATTTGTAAAAAAAAAAAAAATTAATCACTTTCTCAGAAAAAAAAAAAAAAAAAGTAATCACTTGTAGAGGAGTAATAATAGTTGGCTCGTAAATGAAAAGGGAAATTTTTTTTTTTTTTGTAAAATTGATACATGTATACATATATTTACGTATCTGATAAGGTTTTTGTTTTTGATGCAATAAGCAAAATTGAATATAAACAGATGTGTAATGTTCGCTATAATTTTTTTTTTTTTTTTTTACGCAAGCGTGCAAAAGCGCCTCTGCCGGTCGGAACGCAAATGCGGAAGGTGCCATGTTTTGGAGGGGTGAAAATGTAGAATGAGGCCGCCGTCGGCAGGAGCTTCAGGGACGGGCTGTCGAGTCCGCGAGTGACCGTGTTTCCGAAAAGAACGACTATCTCGATTCGAATGATGGGAACGAGAAGAAAAATATTATCACAAATTTTTATAACGAAAATGCGGTGATTTAACCTAGTTCACAAAATAATTAAATAAAAAATAAAAAAAAAATTAAAAAAAAAAATATTATGCAAAGTCAAGTGAACGGTGGTGCGACTCAAGAAATATCTGGAGCATCTGGAACTGCGACAGGTCCGAAAACTACCATCAACGGAGGTCGCTTCGACTTCGATGATGGTGGAACTTACTGTGGCGGTTGGGAAGATGGCAAAGCTCACGGTCACGGAGTGTGCACGGGTCCAAAAGGTCAAGGAGCTTACTCCGGCTCCTGGCACTATGGTTTTGAGGTGTCAGGAGTGTACACATGGCCTAGGTGGGTACAAAATATTAAATCACTTTTCAATTTCAATCATTCAAACGAAAAAGAAAAAAAATGTTCCATGAGATTTTCCATTGACCGTTAATTAATAACAACGTATTATGTAATAATAATAATAATAATATTCGAATAATGGTTACGAAAAGGGGTGAATTTTTTCCCAATTTTCGTTTATTTAATTTTTTTTTTTTTTTTTTTTGTTAACATGTGTTTGCGCGTAGCTTTTTTTTTTTTTTTTTAAAAAGATATTTCTCATGTATCACAATATCTAAAAATAAAATAACTTAAGTCGAGATTCTATTTAAGGTAACATTTAACAAAAAAAAAATTTTTCCGTTATTTTTCTCCATTACGAAAAAAAAAGCCATTTTTTTTTTTTAACGTATAATATATCATTTAAACCATGTTAAAATGTCGTTAAAACAAAGATTAATAATAATAATAATAATAATTCACATATACAATTACGTTTTTTTTTTTTTTTTTTTTTTACGTAAGGGTAAATATATATAATGTTTTATGATTTTATTAAAATAAGATAGGGAGGAGGGGGAGGGAATTTTCTCGGCAAAAATAAAATTTACAAAGAAGGATTTACATTTTTTGTCCCTCAATTTTACACAAAAGTCTTTCGGTGAATACAAAAAAAAAAAAAAAAAAAGTGAAAAAAAAGAGAGAAAAAAAGAGAAAAACCTCAAGTTTTGTTTCACGTTATGCGCATGCGTCAAATTTATTTAAGATCCATTTACGATTCGATGACAAATATTCTTCTGCTTAAACTTAATAAAATACTCTTTTTTTTTTTTTCTTTTTTATTAAAAAAGAAATTTTATTCAAAATCTTTTTTTTTTTTTAATATTATCATCATCATCGTTATTATTATTATTATTAATAATACAAGTTATAAAATTTTATCTAGTTTTGTTAAAAAATTAAAATTAAAAAAAAAAAAACAAAAAAAGAAAAAAAAGAAAAAATTTATTTATTACTCGACGGCCTTTTTTAAAGAGAAAAAAAAAGAGTAAAAAACAACGTTGTGTGTGTGTGTGTGTGTGTGCATTCGGCGTGAATATTACGTTTATAATAAATAAATAATAATGATGATAATAATAATGGAAAGTTGGGCGTTGTTTTTCTGCTGTGTGTAAAATTAACTAATTTTACTACACAAAATCCTTTTTTTTTTTTTTTTTTTTTTTAAATTTGTAATTTAACGATAAAAATTTTGTTTTTAGGTATTTCGAAGCGGGTTTAAAATTATTCCCGAATGAATTTTCTTTTTTTCTTGTTAATAATTGTCATAAAATTTAATTATTTTACAAAATGATTTTTTCCATTATCGTTAAAAAAAAGAAAAAACTTATCTATATATGCAAATTTATATACTGTTACCCAAAACGTTTTTTTTTTGTCACCGCCTTGTCGAAATTTTCTTTTTTTTTTGTCTTGGATGAACAAAAAAAAATTTTATATTTTATTCCAATAAAAAAAAAAAAATTCTGTAAACGTTTTTATTGGGGGGAAGGGAGGAGAGGAGGAAAAAACAAAATTGTAAAATGAATTATTAAATAATAACGAATTGTTTGTTATTAATAAATGAAAATTAAAATTAATTGAATGCTAATAACTTGAGGTAAACAATGAAATCACACACGGACGCCATTTTTATTATTTTGGTTTTAAATAAGAGATGTGTGTCTTTTGAAAACAATGGCGGGGGAAAATTAACGACGGGGGAAAGGGGGAGGGGAATGGGAAAAAGAGAAACAAATGAAAAATTAATTTTTATTATTTATTTAGTTTGAGGAATTTGATATTAGAATACAAAAAAAAAAAAAAAAAAAAAAAAAATACCGCGAATGAAAAAAAAAAATTGTTAATAGTTTATTTCTTTCCTTTTCCCCTACCTACGGTTTTCTTTGTTATTCTTTTGTTAGCAAATCATTTAATGGCAAATGAAAACAATAAAAAAAAAAAAAGTTTTTTTTTTTTTTTTTTTTTAATTTGAAATTAGATTCTTAGCTAAAAAATTTTTGATTTGAAATAAAAAAAAAAAAAAAAATGCAAGGCTAGGTAAAAAAAAAAATAAGAGAAATTTGAAGCGTTAGCTTTGTTAGTTTGAAATGATGCCAAATCTTCGGGTAAAAGCTTTACGTTTATATACTCCCAGGGGTGGACATAAATAAGTAAATAAAATTAAATATCAATTAACAAACGACAAAATTTAAGGTACGACGGATTTTAAGTGGTCGATGATGATATAAAAAAAAAAAACATTCAAAATCATTCATTGAATGCATGAAGGGGGGAGGGGTAAGGAAGGAAGAAAGGGTTTAACATTAATTAATGTAATCATATTGAAATGATTAGCAAAAAATATTAATTATTATTATTATTATTTTGTTTTTTATTTTCAGTGGAAGTGCCTTTGAAGGTCAATGGCAAAATGGTAAAAGACATGGTTTGGGAGTCGAAACAAGAGGTAGATGGTTATACAGAGGTGATTGGACACAGGGTTTTAAAGGAAGGTATGGCGTGAGGCAATCGGCAACATCAAATGCCAAATACGAAGGCACTTGGACAAACGGTCTTCAAGATGGACACGGATCCGAAACCTACGCTGATGGTGGTAAGTGAATTTTTTTTACATTCTATTTGAAAATGATGTACCATTCCCCCGCTCTCCCCCCCACCCCGAAATAATTCATTTCCTTCTTTACAACGCTCTCCCACTTCCCCCCTCCCCCTCGAAAATAATTTACGGTGAAATGTGTGTAGATAAACAAAAAATTTTATGCCCACCACTGGCCGGGATTTTTTTTTTTCTTTTTTATTTCATTGGGGGTCGCGGTCAGTTTGTACGAAACAATTCGTCTAAAATTAATTTTTTTTTACTTCGCTGCCGGTTAAATTTTACTCTTTTTTTCTTTTTCCCTCCTCCTCATCCTCATCTTCTTCTTCTTTTTTTTTTATTGCAAAAATACGAAAAAAAAAAAAATGACTCCATTTTATTTTGTCAATTATAAATTACTATTTACACAACTATTTTTATTATTATCATTATTATCATTATTTATTTATTTTTCTTTTTAAATTAATTTTAGAGAGAGAGAAAGAGGAAAAAAAAAAGAAAATTTTTTCGAGTCTGGGTTATAAAATAAAATTTTTTTTGTCCTTTTTCTTTATCGAATTTGACAGTAATAATAATAATAATAATAATATTACTGTCTGTTTTTCTTTTCTGTCTCTTGTAATAATAATAATAATAATAATACAATTTTTTAAAATTTATACTGTCATATTATTGTTTACGTACCATTGTTATTTTATTTTTTTCCTGTAGGAAAAAATACAAAAAAAAAAAAAAGAAAATTTAATATAAAATTATTTGTGTGCGTGTGTGTGTGTGTGGGTGGGGATGTGCGAGTTTTAAAATTTTACAGAGAACACTTAATAAAGGGCAACTTTTTAAAACTTTTTACGATTTTACGAATAGCAAAAAATAAAAAAAAAAATATTTACGAAGGTGTAGTAGCAAGCAACTCACGAAAATTCTTAGGAAAAATAATAATATGACAATTACACATTTGAATGAAATTTTTTTTTCATTATTATTATTATTATTATTTTTATGACTAATTTTCGACGATTTATTTTTATTATTATTATTATTCATTGGGAAAAAGTTTTTCTTTTCGATTCGAAAAAAACAAACGGTAATAATAATAATGATAATAAAAATTAATTCATACTATTAAAAATAACTTATTATTAATTATTGTGATACATATAAGAGGAAAAAAAAAAATTCAAAAATTATTATTATTATTATTAGTATTATTATGAAGTAATTGGAAAATTTTTTTTTTTTTTTTGTTGTTGTCTTAGAAAATTTTGTGTTTATGTAATTTATAAAATGTTATATAGGTATTTTATTTTATTAAATTTTTTTGGCAAAATTTTAATTTTTTTTTTTTTTTTATTTCTTGCCCAGGGTTTGTAATAACAACAACAATAGAGCGCCTTGTTG